TGGAGGTGTGAGGGAGGGGACCTGGAGCACAGGTCTCCTCCCAGCAGGAAAGGAGGTGGCTGAGCTTTGCAACAAGGCTGACATGTGGCTGGAGCTCAGGACAGGAGTGACGCAGGATGTGAGGAACCTGGCCAGGGCTGGTTGCAGGGAGAGGGGCTGTGGTGCCACAGCCAGCACTGGGCTGGGCTGAGCATGACCCGCCGTGGGCACCCTGTGCCCATCTTGGGAGCATCCAGGGCAATATCACACCTTGGCAAGGGTTGCATTAAAATAAAAATAACCCAGCGCTGGCCGGCGCCTGCAGCCAGGTCAGCGAAAGGCAAAGAGCTGCCGTGGCTCCCATTCCGTTGGGGTAACTTTACCTCTGGCATTGCTAACCCTTGAGTGGGGCAGTTCTGGGGCCAGCGAGTGCCCAGGGTGGCAGAGCTGGGTGTGGGGCTGGGCAGGGGGTGCCGTGGGGGTGTGGGGTGTCACGGGGTGCCGGGGCTGTAGCCATGGGCTCGTGGTGCTGCCTGCACCCGGCTCGGGAGCTTCTGCGGGGGAACGAGCTCTGATATAAATATCTTTTTGCTCAGCACACGACCTACTTTCCAGACAATGCCATTAGCCTCCCGACTCCCTCATTCATCTTCTGCCATCCTCCCCCAGCCCGCCCCGCAACGGCACCTGCGCCAGCGTGGCCACGGAGAGGTGAGGCAGGACGGGCACCTGGCTCCGTGGCACCGTGGGGACCCCCGTGCTGGGCTCGGGGCTGGCTGGCCCCTGCTGCCTCCAGCCCCATTCCCTGCACGGTCCATGCCCTGGCTGGCAAATGGCCTCAGCCAGGCACATCCTTGCCCAGGAACAGCCTTGCTGAGGACTCACTCATCAGGGCAGAGGAGAGCACGGTGAGGAAGCCACACGTCAGCTCAGGGATGGCCCACGGGCAGTGTGCGGGGCCAGGGCCCCTCCTGAGCCCCCCCCAAGCATCCCTGGCACTGGGGCCACACACGTGGCTCATCCAAGGATGATCCCACAGGAGCTCCCATGTGCTGGCACAGGCCATGCCAGGCAGGAGAGGGGCTGATGGGATTAGGGGCAGGTTGGGCACCCCAATCCCACTGCCATGGCGTGGCCTGGCCCCCCCAGCCCCCAGGGACAGCCCTGGAATCGGTTTTCTCCCAAGGGCTGGAAATGCCTCCCCAAAGGCAGGACAGCCCCGGGCCCACCTCCACACACCCCCAGGTCGAACCCCCACTCCTCCCTGGCAGCTAAAATTAAATATTCCATTTGTATTGCTGATAAATCCTGCAAATCTCTTTTATCTCTAAGCTGTTGTAGCAGGAATATCGGTGGTGTAATCTCCACGGGGGCCCATCCTGCTGCCCTTCACAGCTCCCAGCCCTGGACCACACTCCCTTTTCCCCACAGCTCCCCGTGGGACACTTCTGGTGGTGGAGAAGGATACCAGTGGCAGAGCACCCCTCGCAGGGCACCCCATGGCACCCACTCTGTGGGTGCTGCACCCTGCAGGGTCAAGGCTGTGCGTGGTCCCCACACCGTGTGTGATGGGGATGCCAATGCCCAGGTGATCCACGTGGTCCTGCCAGAGTGTCCCCATCCCTGCCACGTCCTCACCCGCCAGCTGTGCCCCCCCCTCGCTCCGTCCCCGCGCTAAGAGCATTTGTGCAGAATTATGTATTTAAATATTTAGGTTTTCATCAGCTTTGCAAATTAAGCCCATCCATTACAGCGGCAGTTTTGGGTCCTCCGCTGGCGAGCTGGGCTGTGCCACGCCTCGGGCTCGCTGTGCTCATCCCAGCCCTGGCCCCGGGGGATTCAGCCTGGGAACGGGACACGATGGCCCAGAGCACCCTGGCTGCCACAGGGACCAAGGGCTCTGCTTCCTTGCTGTTCCTGGAAACCCCGGCCCCTGCGGCCTCGCCATGGGAAGAGCCGTGGGGCGGGATGGTGTTGCAAAGGGAACTGGTTGGGATGGGTGTTATTTGAGGTTGGAGTGGAAGGTGCCACGTGCTGGGGAAAGTGGGATGAGGAGCAATGCTGGTGGCAGGTGAGAGCCCTGGCACGGCCTGGGGGGAGCAGACTGGGGATGGAAGGGCCAGCCCACCTTGGGGGCTTGGCAGGGATGGGCAGGGGACGGACGGCCAGAGATTGTCACCACTGCCACACTCAGTGCTAAGGCCGTGCTGCCCCCAGCTCTCCAAAGAGGCTTTGGAGTGATCCCTGGCTTAAGGCATTGCACGGCACCACCGGGGAGGTAAGTGGCTTTTTAAGCCCTGGCAATGTGGCCTATCCTGTGGCTCCATGTGGATGGGAGGGGGAAAAGGGGCTGATGGGGAAATGGGGTTCATCCTGCACTGCCTCGGGGGCTGCCACGGCACCCACAGCCTGAAAAGTTCCTCTGACTCAGTGTCGCTGAAACCAGGACACTCAGGCAGGTCTGACTCTTTGGGGATGCTGGAGTGAGGTGCCCAGTGAGGGCCTGGGCAGAGCCCCCAGGGCGAATGTGGCACAGAGGGATGTCCCTGTCTGTCCCTCCCCTTTGCTGCAGGTGAACATCAGGCTGTTTGTCTCTCCATCCCGCTGGGCTCCCCGGTGTCACCTGCACGTCCTCCCTTTCCACCCAGCCCTGGAGGGCACCAGAGCACTGTGCTGGCTGCTGCTGGCCCCAGGCAGTGCAGGCAGCTGTCGAGGGTGTCCATGGGAGGGAAGCTGTCTGTGGGCATCACCGGTGATGGTGCTCATCCGTGTGGTGCAGCGCCCACGAACCCTGTGCCAGCTGGCATGGGCGGGGGTCCCCAGGGCTCCATCTGGCTTGGGGGTCCCTCCAGTGTGGTTTCCTGACTCAGTCAGCTGCTCTGCTGCTCTGGCCGTGGGGTCCCACCTCTGGCTCCCTGTGTGCCATGTCCTGGCTCCCGTGGGCAGGATGAGCATCACTGTGGGGCCGAGGGGGCTGGAGGTGCCTGTGCCATGGGGCATCTCACCCCTGCCTGCACCCACGTGGGGATGCTGCCATGGCCCATTCCCTGTGCCACCTCTTTCCTTCTCAGGCAACTTCTGCTGGCTTTGCCTTGCCAGCTCCCAGGATGCTCCAGCTCCCTCACACAGCCTGTTGGAGCAGCGTGGCTCCTGTCCCAGGGAATCAGCTCTGGGGACCAGGGTGTCCCGGTGGGTCACTCTGGGCTGTGTGTGCTGGGCAGGGGGTCCTGCTCCCCCCGTGGTGGCAGCAGCCAGAGGCACTGGTGTTGTGCTGGGGAGTCCCAGTGCTGGCTCCAGGCCGGGATCCCTGGCAGCTGGGAGCGCCGTGGCCGTATTTCCTCGCTCTGCTCCACGAGTAATTGCTCAGATGGGGACTTGGGGCGACTCCCATCCCTCTCCCGGCATGGTAATGAGTGAAGAAGACTCAAAGACAAATGGCTCATTAAGAAGCAGTGCTGCATTGCAGGATTTCTCATCCCACCAACCGCTGCATCAGCAGAGGCAGCACCTCTCACACTCGCTCTCCCAGCCCTGAGAAGGAGCTGTCAGGCAGCTGGGGCTGGTGCCAAAATTAATCATGTGCTTCATAACGTGCCCGGCCCATTGAACGGCCTGTCCTCGGCCTGCCGGTGGGAGCCCTGGGACACCGTGGGGTTGGGTTTGGTGCTGGGAAGCACCTGTGCTCAGTGAGGAGGGATGTGCCAGGGCAGGGCTGAGCCAGGGGAGACGCCCCTGGCTTGGGGTGCCAGAGCCCCCGGCTCTGTCGGGGTGTAGGGCAGCTGTGTAGGGCAGCACAGCGCTGCTGGCCCTTCTCAGTGGCCTCATAAACATTTCTTCCTCCGCTCACATTTGCAATTCTTCAGCTGCTGTTTGTCACTCATGACTTTTTAAAAATCTTGCCTCATCCCTTTTTTCCAGCAGTGCCCAGTTGGATCCTGCCCCTCACAGCCCTCTTTGGGCAGTGCCCCCCTGCAGCCACTCTGTTTTCTTTTATTAACAGTGACTGGGTTTGATTTCCTGATTGCATTGAGCACATTCACTCTGATATTTGCATCTTGCTCACACTCCTTTCCTCTTTCACTTTTCCTCTTTCCTCTTCCCCTTTCCACTTTCTTCTTCCCCTTTCCCTTTTCCCCTTTCCCCTTTCCCTTTCCTTTCCTCTTCCCCTTTCCTTTCCCCTTTCTGTGCTAAATTAGCTGATCTCTTACTAAGCCCCTCTTTTCTTTTCCTCCAGGCTGAGCAAATTTCACTAATTCAGCCTCATAAAATAACAGAGCAATTAGTAATAAAATAAAATGTTTGCTTTCCACAATCCTGCTCACTTACAATGAATTGGGAAAGAGCAAATAGATTAAAAGCGTGGTGGAAAGCGACCTGGCAGTATTCCATATATTTATTTTCTTCCGACGACCGTAGATCAAATTTGTTCAGCCCCTAAGTGGGAAAAGCACTTTATTTTATTTTTTTTTCCCAGGCTCCAGCTCGTGGTGCCGGGCGCTCACGCTGCGTGTTTGTTCTCTCCTGCTTTCATCCCAAAGCCACACCGGTCCCCAGCAGGACCCGCGCTGGCAGAACCCGGTGCTAATTTGCCGAGCAGAAGGGGCCGAGCTCGCGCCTCTCCTGGGCTGGAGGCTGGGAAAAAACCTCCCTTTGCTGACGCTGGAAGGCAAAGGGGTGGCGGGAGGAGGTTTTGTGGAGTGTGAGGCCGGATCTGGAGCAAATCAAAGTCGATGGCGAGGTGGCCGCTGGGCCGGCTCGGGCACCCGCTGGCAGGGAATTGCATAACAGGATGGGGCCGGGGATGGTTTTTGGGCTAAACTGGGTGGAACACGTGGCCGTGGCCGTGCAGAGCTGTCCCTGTCACTGCTGGTACAGGCAGCACTGGTGTGGGGCGGCCTCAGGGGAGGAGGGAAGGCTGGGCTGATAAAAAACACACAGGGAGGTGGGTCAGGGGAGGTTTTGGGGAGGGATATCCTGGCTCTTCCTCCCTGGGCTTCACCCCCCTCGTGTTCCTCCCCCAGAGCCTGCTGCCCCCGGGAGAGCCAGCGAGGAGGAGCCGCTGCCGGCCGGGGCCATGAGGACAGCATCCCCCTGAGCGCCGGGCGGTGAGTGCCTGCCAGGACCCCGCACGTGCTGCCCCTGCCAGGGGCTGCTTGGGAAGGGCGGGGGGCCAGGACCCCCCGAGTGCGGGGCCATCAACCCCAGCTCTCGGGGTTGGACCCGGAGATCTTGGAAAACCCAGTCTTACCCTGTGCCAGGGCAGTTCCCCAGGCCCAGACACCGTGGTGGGGATTTGCTGTCCTGTCACCTCCCCACTGGTGGTCCCAGAGCTGGAGGGAGCCTGGGTGCCACAGGGTCCAAGGGAAGCTCCAGCTCCTGCTGGGGCTGCCCTGAATCCCCACAAGCCCTGGGCCTTGGCACAGAGCTGCCTCCAAGGCAGGGATCTCACGGGGCAGATGCCGGGAAGTGGAACCGCCTCTGCCAAGTGCTCCTATGGGAAATTAAGCAGGAGGCTGAATTTTGGGGTGGCTCAGAACACGGGGGACTACAAGCCCCTGTTCTCCCTGTGCTGACCCTTGGGCAGGAAGAGATTTCAGAGGGAGGGTGGCAATGAGGAGTGGCCGGTGGGAGTTCCTTGAGGCTCTGGAAGCAATAAAGGCAAGGAGTGAGTTATTTGTAATGGTAATTATGCTCTTCCAGTTTATCCTAGCACATAATCGTGTGGGCGGTAGGTTCCCACTGGTGGTAATTACCCTGGTGTTAAATGGCACAAAATTCAGCCGGGCTGGGTTTTCCCCCCTTGATTTGAGTCTGTGGTTTGGTGTCACAAATCCTTCCATCCCGAGGGCTGAGCAGTGGAACAGCCTTTGGTGAGACACAGCTCCAGCTCTCAGCTACCAGCCCATGAGCCACGCTCTGTCCAGCTCCCCCAGCTCCATGTGCCAGCCTCCTGCCCACAGTGCCCCCCTGGGACAGAGCAGAGGAGCAGGCTCGGCAGCTTCTCCCACCCTCTGTGTGTGACCATCCCCACTGGGACACAGGGACGGGGATCCCCGGCTGTGCTGCCTGTGCTGAGCCCCACAGGATCTCTCCTGAGCCCTTCCCCACCCCCAGGGTGCCCACGGGGGGACCGGCTGGTCCCTGGGCAGGACACAGGTGCTGGCACGGCTCTGCCGTGGTGAGCTGGGAAGTACATCCCTCGCCATGGCACGGCCCCATCTGCTGCCATCGCTCGGCAGCTGCGGGGGAGCCGCGGCGCTGCCTCGCCGGCGGGTTCCGGCGCTGCTGAATTCCTGCACCTGCCGAGCACAAAAGCCCGGCAGGCTCGTGGTGACGGGCTCCGCAGCTATTTTGACTCCTTCTTTCCGCTGCAGCAACAATATTTGGATCAGCTGAGAGTTCCCTCCCCGAGCAGGAGATGATAGCTCAGCCGGCGCAGGCAGAGCCGGGCTGGGAGCCTGTCTGTCTGTCCGTCCATCCATCCATCCTGCTGCTCCATCCCCAGGCAGGGAGGCAGCTCCATCCCACCCTGCTGCTCCCGCTCCTCGCAGCAGCTCTCCCGGGAGGGGAGAGGCATCTTCTGTACCAGCTGCACATCCTTCCCTTCAGACACAGCAATTAGGGAGCCTCGTTAGAGCAGGAGCACAGTGGTGAGGGTGGGGAGCAGTGCAGGATGGAGCCATCCAGCCCCGAAGCTGGGAAGGAAGGTGGTGGCAGTGGCTTAGTAGGGCCCTGTCTGCTGCTCATGGTCAATGTGCCATCACTGCTCATCCCCACATTCCCTGGGGACCCCCAACTGCTCTGTCTTCTGGGGCTCCTCCGGGAACACAACCCCCTCCCTCACAGCCCTGACCCTCCCAGTGTCCCTCATTTCCCATCCCCGTGGTCTGACACACCCCACGTGCCGCAGGGAATGTCCCACAGTCACCTTGCCCTGCAGCCAGTCTCGGAGACGTGCTGCCCACAGCACCCTGCCCAAATATGATAACAAGAGCACTAATGATGCCTGTTAATTAGCCGAGATGCTCTGGAGAATAAGTAATTTCCTCATTTACAGTCAAACCAAAGGCAGAGCCTTTGAGGGACCGTAAGGAACACAAACCTCCATGGGTGCAGGCGGCTCCGGCGGCTGGCACGGGCTCAGCCTGGCTCGGTGCCACCCCTCCTCCTGTCTCAGTGTGGGGCTGCCCCACACACAGCACAGCCACCTCTGCTCCTGGCCCCCCATCCGGGGGCACTGGCAGGTAGGGGTGTCAGGGCTGTGGGTCTCCACCTGCCGTTGGGTGCTCTGTACGGGGAGGACGGGCCGGGTGGAGCCATCGGAGCTCGGCCCCCCCGCGCCCCGCAGCAGCTCATTAGCGGGGCTGTGAATCGCGGCGGCTGAAAAGCTCAGCCAGAACCGTTTTCCTAACGGAGAAACACTTCACAATATTTGGTGTTGGAGAAGAAAACAAGGATCTGCTGATGGCAGCGTGTCCTTCCTCACCGTCTGCAGGCCCTGCTGCCTGCATCGCTGCCGGCAGTGCCTTCTCCTTCCCTCTGCCCCCTCCGAGCAGCTGAGCTGGGGGTAACCCTGGGTGCTGACCCCCAGCACCGTGCCCGCCTCGCCCCATGATTCTGGCACTTCACAGGGGCTCAGCCAGGGCCGAATCCCACCCTGGGACCTTCTCAGTTCATTCCTTTGGGCCAGCCCCAATGTTTTGCTTGTGGTGGGGTGCAGAGGGGAGCTTCACACTGTGCCCATCCCTGTCCCCACAGGTGAGCCCGCAGGGGCATCCCTGCAGGATGCCGAGGCTACGGGGAGGATGCTGACACCATGAAGGGCTACCATGGGGAGCGTAGCCAGACACAGCCCTCCTCCGGCCACCGCTGCCGCTGCATCCCAGAGGACTGCCAGCATCCCGCCGACTACATCCCGCACGGCCCCGAGGGCCGGCCGCCCTACCTGCTCAGCCCCAGCGAGCCGTGTTCCCTGGAGCATCCCCACTGCCCGGCGCGGAGCCCCGGCGCGGCCAGCGAGTGCCCGGGCGGGCCCCTGAGCGAGCCGCCCTCCGCCAGCGCCAGCAGCACCTTCCCGAGGATGCACCACGCGCAGCAGCCCTACGACTCCTGCGACGAATGCATGGCGACCGCCCACCCCTCCAGCAAGATCAACCGCCTGCCCCCCACGCTGCTGGACCAGTTCGAGAAGCAGCTGCCGCTGCACCACGACGGCTTCCACACGCTGCAGTACCCGCGGGCCGGCGGCGCCGAGCCCCGCAGCGAGAGCCCCAGCCGCATCCGCCACCTCGTCCACTCCGTCCAGAAGCTCTTCGCCAAGTCCCACTCCCTGGAGGCGCCGGCCAAGCGGGACTACAACGGCGCCAAGATGGACGGCCGCGGGGACGGCTACCACCACCACCACCACCACCACCATCACCACCACCACCACCAGTCCCGCCACGGCAAGCGCAGCAAGAGCAAGGACCGTAAGGTGGACTCCCGGCACCGGTCCAAGATGTTGGGCTGGTGGAGCTCCGACGACAACCTGGACAGCGACAGCAGCTACATGGTGTCGGGTCGGCACGCCGCCGACCAGGGCACCCAGTACTGCGTGGACGCTCCCGAAAGTGCCTTCAGAGACTTGACCTTGAAGAGTCTAAAGGGCGGCGGGGAAGGAAAATGCCTGGCCTGTGCCGGCATGTCCATGTCTCTGGACGGCCAGACGCTCAAGAGGAGTGCCTGGCACACCATGACCGTCAGCCAGGCCCGGGAAGCCTATCCCAGTGCTGGTGGCACCGAGAAGACCTTGATGCTTCAGGAAGCAAAGGCCAAAGACCGAGCATACCAGTACCTGCAGGTGAGGGGCCAGGCAGGGCGAGGGGACTGTGGCTGATGGTGCCTTGGGGTGAGCTGGGACAGCTCAGGGTGCTGTGGGGATGCTCCAGCTCTGCTCCACGTCCCTGGCGCCTGTGTCCCATCCCCCAGTGTCCCGCGCAGGTCCCCGCTGTCCCCTCGAAGCCCATCTGCTGCCTCCTGCCCCGTGCAGGCTGGATTTGGGGTCAGACCAGCTCTGTCAGCTTGGGGCCACCACCAACCCTGTGCCCGCTCGCTCCTCGTGGCTTTTATCTTGCCTATGAGCCTGGCTGGGTGCCACCGCCTGCCTTGTCACCCTTCTAGGTCACCCCCCTTCCAATTAAAAACTAATTAACTCTTCTCTCCCTTTCCTGGGGGAAGGAGACAGGGAGCAGCAATGCCGTGCGGGCTGGGGGTGGGGGTGGTCGGGGCCCATCTCTGCCGGCAGCGGGGGCATCAGGGCAGGGTGCCGGCCCCACTGCCCTCCCCATGGGCCCCGGGGGACACCATCCCCCTGTCACAGCCTGGTAAGGACCCCGTGGTGCTGGTGGTGCTGGCGTCAGCGGCACGTGGCGGGACTGGTGCCTGCTACGTCAGGCGGGCACTGCGCTGGCATGGGTGGGATTTGGCCCAGGCGCTCCCGCCAGAGGGGCCGCGAGGTGGGAGCTGCTGCACTGCCCTGTGTTTTGGGAACGGGGAGCTGTGGCTGTTAGGAGGGATCACCTCTCCTGGATTTAGGGGCCTTACCAGGTGGTCAGAGCCCCCAGGGTCTGTCCCTGCAGCTCTGGGGTATGTGGGAGGGCAGGGGAGCTGGGCACACATACCGGATTTGGGATGGGCGTGGGCTGGCACATGGCTTGGCTCTGTGTCCCGCCTGCGGGACCCCGGCCACGGCGTCCTCCCACGCTCGCCTCCTGCTCCAGGTGCCGCAGGACGAGTGGAGCGGGTACCCAGCGGGCAAGGACGGGGAGATCCCGTGCCGGCGGATGCGCAGCGGCAGCTACATCAAGGCCATGGGCGACGAGGACAGCGCCGACTCGGACATCAGCGCCAAAGTGCTGCCCAGGGCGGCCACGCGGCGAGACAGCTACCGCCGCTCCTCCAGCGCCGACCAGGCCAGGACCAAGTAAGGGCTGTCACCTCCCGGCCCCGTCCCAGCACTGCGGGCAGCAGCGGGGCCACAGGCTGGGGCTCCCTGGGAGGATGAGTGGCATCGTCCCTGCTCACGGCACCGTCCCCGCTCACGGCCACACTCCCCAGTGCGGCAACACCCAGCCCTGTCTGCGCTGTGTCAGGGCACTGCAGGGGACGTGGCTGTGCTGGGCTTCGGGGGGGGGCTGCTGCTGCAGCCATGTGTAGAGAGTGGGGAGAAGAGGCATGTTCAAAAGGGGATGACTGGGATGTGCTCCAGTCTCAGTGGGCGACAGTTTTTGGGGCAGGTAGGAACAGGGACGGCAGTGGTGGCCGGCGGGAGCATCTCTGCAGCTGCGTTTCCAAGTGCTCTGCTGGAATGTGTTGCTTTTGGTGCGATCCCTTCTATTCCCACTGTCTCTCATTAGGTTTGCAAGTAGGCACTATTCTGATTCATATATCTGTAACTGTCCCAGCTGCTGCACGCCACCGCGAATGCTCCCGCGGGGACAGAGCTACGGGCGCTCCTTCACCACCGGCCAGGTAGGTCCTGTGGCACGGGTGCTGCGGGGCAGGATGGGGCAGGAGGGTGGTGGATGTCCCTCTGAGCACCTCCTGCCCCGGCTCGCCACCCCCAGCCTCACCCGCCGCTCTCCCCAGATCAACGATGAGCTCAACCACCAGTTTGAGGCCGTGTGCGAGTCGGTTTTCGGCGAGGTGGAGTCGCAGGCCGTGGAGGCGCTGGACCTGCCCGGCTGCTTCCGCATGCGGAGCCACAGCTACCTGCGGGCCATCCAGGCGGGATGCTCCCAGGACGACGACTGCCTCTCGCTCTTCTCCATGTCGGCCCCGCCGGGGCCGCCCATCACCAGCAGCATCCTGAAGCCCAGCACTTGTGAGTCCCGGGGGTGGTGTGGGGTCGACCGCGTGAGGGACTCCCACATCTCCCTGCCTGCTCGCCCGGGCACCTGCCAAGGGCTGCTGCTGCCCTCCCCTCCCTGGTCCCCTCCGGCCCACGGCACAGGGCGTGAGCATCCTGCCTGTGGCTCAGTCCCAGTCAGGGGGCTGCTCAGTGTCCCCAGCTCCCATTTACCATCCCCTCCTTCCCTCCATTTCTGTCCCCACCTCTGCCCCTTGCTGGGTGCTGCAGCAGTGTGGCTAGTGTGGGTCTGGGGTGGTTTCTGATCCCAAAAACTGGCCAAACAGCCCCTCTGAGCTCCAGCCTCAGCTGGCTGAGGGACAAACCCTGTGGGGCTGAGAGCCCCGTGCTGTGGGAGGAGGTGGGCACCATTCCCCGGGGCCCCTGTTCGTGGCGGAAAATGAGCAAGTGTCTGTGTTTTCACGTGCCTTTTCATCCTGCGCCTCTCCCACAACAGCCTTCAGTTACAGAAAAGCTCCACCTCCCATCCCTCCAGGAACCAAAGCCAAACCCCTCATCTCTGTCACGGCGCAGAGCAGCACCGAGTCCACCCACGAGAGTTACCTGCCCAGCGAAGTTTCCCGCAGCTCCGCCTGGTCCAAAGACGCCAAGGCCCGCTGCAACTCTGCCGAGAGCCTGGAGAGCTCCAAGGTGACGGCCGTGGCCCTGGACCTGCCCCCGGTGCAGCCCCGCGCCGCTCCCAAGCCCTCCACCCTCATCATCAAGGCCATCCCCGGCCGGGAGGAGCTGCGGAGCTTGGCAAGGCAGCGCAAGTGGCGCCCGTCCATCGGCGTCCAGGTGGGCTCCGCTCGTCCCCATGGGCTGCCCGAGCTGGTGTGGGCGATGCTGAGCCTCGGGGCTGCACCCGGGGCTGCCCTCCAGCGCTCTCCCTCTGCCCCTTGCCAGGTTGAGGCCGCCTCCGACTCGGACACAGAGAGCCGGAGCCAGAGGGAGTTCCACTCCATCGGGGTGCAGGTGGAGGAGGACAAAAGGTACCGCATGGCTGGACTGGGCTGAGACCTGCCACACTCACTGCACAGGGGCATTGGGTCCCCAGGGGCTTCCTGAGCTCCACATACCACCAGTGCCCCGCAGCATCTTTTCCCTCTCTCCTCTGGCTGAGACCCCCAGACCTCAGCACCGTCCCCATCCCACACCAACTGCCCCTATCTGGGGCAGAATCTGACTTCCCCTTTGTCCTTGCTGCTGCCCAGGGAAGGGTCTGCCTTGTTCCCACCCTGTGCTGGGTCTCCTCTGTTGGGCTCAGCCCTGGGTTTTGAGCCCGGGCCAGGTGCAGATGAACCTGTGGGTGATTCTTCAGCTAACCCTGACATTTTGGCCGGGGTGGGAATGCCAGGTGTGCCAGGACCTGCACAGCCTGCGGGAGCGGAGCTCAGGCATCGTGCCCACGCAGCCCGTGCAGTGCAGGCTCCTCTCCATCCTCGGTCCAGCGCCGGTAGCCATGGAAACAGGCTAAGAGCAGGGGAGATGAGGGACTGGCGGGTTGCAGCTGCTCCAGGTTGTCCCCAGGGGCCTTGAGCGCTCCGGGATCCAGACCGGCATCCCCAGCCCCATCCTGCGTGTGGGCATCCCTCACCCTGCTCCTGCCCACTGCAGTACCCAGAGAGGGAATGGGACAGTGGGGATGTCCCCTGTGGTTGTGAGGGTCTCCTGTGGCTGTGAGGATCCCCTGTGTCCGTGAGGGTCCCCTGTGGCCGTGAGGGTCCCCCGTGGCCGTGAGGGTCCCCACCCACTCTCGCTCTCCACAGGCGGGCGCGCTTCAAGCGCTCCAACAGCGTGACGGCGGGCGTGCAGGCCGACCTGGAGCTGGAGGGCTTCACCGGCCTGGCCGTGGCCACCGAGGACAAGGCCCTGCAGTTCGGGCGGCCGTTCCAGAGGCACTCCTCGGAGCCCGAGTCGGGCCGGCAGTACGCCGTGTACAAGACGGTGCACACGCAGGGGCAGTGGGCGTACCGGGAGGATTACCAGCTGCAGTACGACACGGTGGAGGTGCCCCGGCGGGACGCCTGGATCGAGCGGGGCTCCCGCAGCCTCCCCGACTCCGGCCGCGCCTCCCCCTGCCACCGAGACGGGGAGTGGTTCATCAAACTGCTGCAGGCAGAGGTGGAGAAGATGGAGGGCTGGTGCCAGCAGATGGAGAGGGAGGCTGAGGACTATGACCTGCCTGAGGAGAGTGAGTCAGGGGGCTGTAGGGTCCTGTAGAGCTGGGGGGCACAGTCACAGTCCTCCCTTAAAACTGCCACGTCTCCTCTGCCACGGCTGAAGAGGTTGGGTGAGGGCAAGACACGTGGGGAAACCCTCTGGGGCTAGAGGGGTCTGGAGGAGGGAGGAGACGTGGCATGTGCTGGAGGGGTCTGAGCTGCTCGTGCTGTCCCACTGCCCTGGGGGTGCAGGTCCCCAGTGCACAGGGGAGAGTCTCTGTGCCCCCCTGGAGTGCTGAGTGTCTGCTCTCCCCCCCAGTCCTGGAGAAGATCCGGAGCGCAGTGGGCAGCGCCCAGCTCCTCATGTCCCAGAAGGTGCAGCAGTTCTACCGCCTCTGCCAGCAGAACATGGTGAGTGTGGGCAGTGGTGCTGGGGGTCAACTGTGGTGGGTCGAGGGTCTCATTCCCTCAGCCAGTGGAAAACAGATTTTGTACCACCATGGAGGAGAGCTGGACATAGAGCCCCACCCTGCGCTGGGGGATGGGATGTCCCATGGGTTGACATGGATGACACTGTGTCCCTCTGTCCCCACAGGATCCCAATGCTTTCCCTGTGCCCACCTTCCAAGACCTGGCTGGCTTCTGGGACCTCCTGCAGCTCTCCATTGAGGACGTCAGCATGAAGTTTGCAGAGCTCCAGCAGCTCAAGGCCAATGGGTGGAAGATTGTGGAGCCCAAGGTAAGGGCAGTGCCACTGGTACTTGTCCCTGTCACTTCTCCCTCCCTCCTCCTCCCCAAACACATCTGCACCCAAACCACTGCTGGGCTGCCTCTGGCAACTGCTTTTAGCAAACAGTGGAAAAACAGACCTGGGAAAAACTGAGGCAAAAGAAGGGCTGTTCTCCCACTGAGGTATCCCAGCCGCCTGCAAGGGGCTGGGCAGGCTCCTGGCACGGGATGGTTGAAGGGATGAGCAGTCCTGCCTTTCGACTTGGGCACATGTGGGAGGGTCTGTGGAGCCCCTCACCGTGGCTTTGGCACCCACGGCACTCCTGTTCACCGGCACTGGCTGGGATGCCCAGTCCCGGCAGGTCCCAGCCTGAAGCCCCTGTTGTCTGTGCAGGAGGAGAAGAAGGTGCCTCCCCCGATACCAAAGAAGCCGCCGCGCTCCAAGGTGCACCCGGTGAAGGAGCGCTCCCTGGACTCGGTGGACCGGCAGCGGCAGGAGGCCCGCAAGCGGCTCCTGGCGGCCAAGAGAGCCGCGTCCTTCCGCCAGAGCTCGGCCACCGAGAGCGCGGACAGCATTGAGATCTACATCCCCGAGGCACAGACCCGGCTGTGACCGCGGCCTCCGCTTTTCTACCCGGACTGCACGGCGTGGCCGTAGCTCACTGTGATGGGGGCCGCGGGGACACCCTGGGGCAGCTCTTGGCCCCACTCACAGCTTCTCTCTTTTCTATCTTAGACCTTTCATGATCCGACGGCGGGTGAACGCAAGCCCGGTTCTGCCCCGTCCCTTGACCCCCCCGCCCGCATGCCCCTGCCAGCCTCTCCTGGGGTCCGGGGCTCTCCCTCCCTCTGCCCTCCCTGGGGCTGTGTCCCAGCTCTCTGTCCCTTTCCCACTTCCCAGCCCTTCTGCACACCCCCCCTTCGTCCCAACCCAAAGAGAGGTGACCCTCAGTGCCCGACCCCGCCGGGCTGGAGGGGAGGGGGCTGCAGGCAGGCCCCCCCCGCCTCTCTGTACTCAGTGCAATCCCCCGGTGTGCGGCAGGGATGGACCCCCAGCCCCTGCTCGGCCAGAGCCCCCCAGCCCTGCTCTCAGCCCCGCTGGGACTCAGCAGGGACAAAGGGGTCCCCTCGCTGCTTCCCCCGCCTGCAGCTCAGGTGCAGCGGGGACACAGGGCTCCCTCCCCTATATACATATATAAATATAACCCAAGGAATAAACCAGAAACTACACGTGACCAGCGCTGTGTCCTGCCTGGTGGGACGGACCAGCGCAGCAGAGACCCCCGGTCACGGCGAGCCGCCCCGCTTCCCTCGCACGGAGCATCGCCACGCGCTTCTCCCCTCCCAGCTCAGCCCTCCTTCCCCTCAGCCCACCCCTCATCTGTCCGTCCTTTCCCTCCTGCCATCCTGGAGTCTGGGAGCACCTCTGCAGTGTGGCACTAGCCAGGGACAGGGAACACAGACCCCCTGTGCCTCGCTGCAGGTGGGAGACCCTTCCCCGGTGTGTGAGCGAGGCAGCAGCAGTGGGAGACCTGCCCGCAGCCCGTTCCTACCTGCGGTGCCAGGGACCACAGCTGGGTTTGGCACCACTGGCTGGGACGGGAGCGTGGACATGGCCAGCAGCCACCCCTTGAGCGTGGGGCTGCTAGAGATCCCCCTGGCGGGTCACTCCTTCTCCCCGAGCTCCTGGTGCCCTGCAGGATGGGACAACCCAAGATGGGGCTGTCATGTACCTGGTGCCCCCTGGGGCCAAGGAACACCCCTGGATGTGGCTGCTCCCAGCTCCTCCATCGCTGTGCACAGAGCCTGGAACGGGGTGGGGGGTGCCCCAGTGGTCCCCTGCAGGGCAGAGCAGTGTGGTGGGGCAGGAAGCTGCATCTGCCCCATCCCTGTCCTTATCCCCATTTCCAGTCCTTCTCCAAGCATCCTGTGGCCCCCACTGTCCCTTTTGGTGGCAGAAGGGGGAAGGACCCCACCCCTGTCCCTCGCCACGCCAGCAGCCCCACGCGGCATCACCAGCCACCCCCAAGGCAGGGCCGGTGGGTTCCAGGCAGCTCCCGAAATCCGGGGCCAAACCTCGCCAGGCCCTCGGGCAGGGCGGTGGGGCCGGAGGCAGCCGGGGGGGCCGGGGCCAAGCAGGAGGACGCCTCGCTGGGGTCCCTCGGTGCTAAACACCTCCGTGACGGCAGCGCCCACTCAGCCACCCAAAGCCCTTCCCCACCCTGCTCCCCCTGCACCTCGGATTTAGGGATGTGCCTGGGAAGGGCCCCCCCGGCCCCCCCGCCCGGCCAGCACCGTGCAGTGACCGTGACACGTGGCTCCCTTTTTATTGTAACGAACCGCCGCAATTAATAAAGATGACTTTGGTTACTCCGGGCCAGCAGCCGCCTCCCCGCGGGGACACGGCCGGCGCCGGGCTCGCCTTTCGCCCGTCTCCCGTCCCGTTGAGTCCGTGGGGAGGGACAGGGGTTATCTGAGGGGTGGGAGAGGTGTCTGAGGGGTGGGAAATGGGTGTCTGTGGAATGGGAGAGGGGCTCTGGCTGGGGCAGGAGCAGATCTCCCATGGAGTGCTTACAGTCTCCCCGTGGTTCTTGCTGTGGAGATCTCCCACGAGTCTCCCCATGGGTCTCTTCCCATGGCTCTTTCCCTGGGGATGTCCCCGTGGGTACCTGCATGGGTCACCCCATGGCTCTCTCCCAGTGGGTCTCTCTCTTTCTGAGTTTCTCCCCAGGGGTCTCCCTGTGGGTATCACCCCGTGACTCTTCCCATGGGTCTCGCCCTGTGGTTGTCTCCACGTGTTTCTCCCCATGGATCTCCTGCCACGGGTGTCTCTGGATCTGTGGATCTGCCCTGTGGATCTCTCTGCATGTCTTCCCCTGTGATTCCTGGCCTGACTCCCGCTGTGGGTCTCCCACCATGACTCCCCCCATGAATCCCCCAGTGACACCCCTGTGGGTGTCTTCCCGTGACTCTCCCTCCATGACAACCCCCTGTGTCACTCCCTTGTCTCCCTCCGTGACAGTGAACACTGGGACTGGTGGCCGGTGTCCCCTCCAGCCTCGGGCATTGCTGGCAGAGCAGGGACAAAGCCTGGCCAGAGGTGCTGAGCAGGGAGCCAGGCTGAGGCCGGGGCTGGGGTTATCTCTGCCTCCCAGCTTGTTTTTTCACTGTGACTCCCACAGTGAGTCTCCTCCTGTGGGTCTCCCCATGGGCATCACCTGGTGACCCCCCATGTCCCCCATCTCCTCCCATGTCCCCCATGCCCCCCATGTCCCCCATGAACTTCCATGTCCCCCATCTCCTTCCATGTCCCCCATGTCCTCCCATATCCCTCATCTCCTCTCACGTCCTACCTTTTCCCCCATGTCCCTCATGTCCCCCATCTCCTCTCATGCCCCACCCCGTGTCCCCCGTGCCCCCCATGTCCCCCATGTCCCCCATCTCCTCCCATGTCCCCCGTGCCCCCCCATGTCCATGTCCCCCCCGTGTCCATGTCCCCCGTGTTCCTCCCGTGTCCCTCCCATGTCCCCCATGTCCATGTCCCCTCCGTGCCCCCCCATGTCCCCCCGTGGTCCCCCGTGTCCCCCCCGTGTCCATGTCCCCCGTGTCCCCCCCGTGTCCCCCCGTGTCCCCGGCCCGGCCGCTCCTCCCGCCGTGCAGTTCCCGCGGTGTCCGTCAGGGGGCGGTGCGGCCCCGCCGGCGGTGCCGGTGACCGGAAGGGGCGGGGCCGGGAGCGCGGCCGGGCCGGGCCGGGCGGGGGGTCCCTGCGGGCCCGGCGGGGGTCCCGGCGCGGGGGTCGCGGGCGGTGCCGCTTCCCGGCGCTGTCCGCAGCCATGTGGTCCGTGCTGTGGGCGGCCGTGCGCTCCAAGGCGCCGTACGTCACCTTCCCGGTGGCCTTCGTGGTGGGGCTGGTGGGCTCGCAGCTCGAGTGGTTCCTGCGCGGGGACCCCCCGGCCACGGCCCAGGACGAGAAGAGCATCTCGGAGCTGCGCGAGGAGCGCAAGCTGCAGGAGATCGCGGGCGAGGACCTGACCAAGGTGGTGAGCCTGAAGGACAAGCTGGAGTTCGCCCCTCGGGCCGTGCTCAACAGGAACCGCCCCGAAAAGAGTTAATAAAGGGTTCCCGGGGCAAAGGCCGTGCCCCGGAGCGGCCGCCGGCACTGCCCCGGAGCTGCACAGCTTCCACCGGCCCGGCTCCTGCCCCCTGCCCCTACGGGCCCTCCGGAGGGTCAGGTTCGCCCGCGCCGTGGATGTGGCCAAGGAACAGCCCCCAGACCCCGGTGGGAGCGGGCAGGGGGCCCTGCGAGGAGGTGGAGCGTGGCTGGAACTCATCAGCCCCCGGCCCGGCCTGGCCCCTGAAGCACAGAACCCTCCTGGCCCGGTTCCACCTGTGTCTCCTCAGGTTTGGCTTCTTCCATGGTGTGAACGTAGAAGGTTGGACCTGAGTGCCATGAGATGGGGTCAGGCTGAGCACCGGCAGCAGGAGGAGCTGCTGCCCTGCTTCCAGATCCTCTGTGGCTCTTGGTGAACCCCAACACAGCCCCACGCTACCACGGTACACCCACGGGAGCCTGAGCAGTGGTGGAGATCTCTGGGGACCCCTCTCTGCATCGTCCCTGCAAGGAAGGGTGACAGAGGGAGGTGGAAGTCCTGGCCCTGCTCCGTCGTGGCGGTGTGTGGGGAACAGGGGGATCTCTGCCCTCTGCCACAATAAACTTCTGTCAGTCCTCGGGCCTCTGTGTCTTCTGCATCAGCACGGCCCCAGCCCTGGCTCAGGGAGTGTCTGCTCCCTGTGTGTTCAAGAAGCATCTCCTGCAGTGGGACAAATGCCATCGCTGTCCCCAGCTGGGCACGGCCCTCGGGGCCTGGCAGCAGGGTGGTGGGCAGGAAGGAGGGGTAGGCACTGAAATCCCAGCCTGTGCTGCGGCTGTGCCTCCCTCCTGGCTCCCCTGGCTGTGTCATCTGCTTCCCATCCACCTCCTTATCTCAGCGACAGGGGCTGTGTCAGTGCTGGGTGGGGTCCCGGGGGACTGGGGGGGTCCCGCTGGGGTGCTGGGCAGGGAGAGGCTGGCAGTGAACACTGGGACTGGTGGCCGGTGTCCCCTCCAGCCTCGGGCATTGCTGGCAGAGCAGGGACAAAGCCTGGCCAGAGGTGCTGAGCAGGGAGCCAGGCCGAGGCCGGGGCTGGGGTTATCTCTGCCTCCCAGCTTGTTTTTTCCCGTGGTGCGTGAGCAAGGCCCCAGTGCTGCCCCAGCCCGGCCTTCCCCTCCTGGGGACCATAAATCTGCCGTGCCCGGAGCAGAGCCCCGAGTCAGCAGCCAGTCAGCGTTTCACACACTCTGTCCTGCAGCCTCGGGGCCAGCTCCTGCCCCGCTGACAGCTTTACTGCCCTGCCCCGGCTCTGTTTGCCTCCCAAGCTGCTGTCCTGGGCTGGATCGCTGCCCTCAGCCGGGCTCACGGCCCAGGAATGCTCCAGCCTTTGCCACCACGGTCTGTGAGGGCAGCTGAGCCTGGGGGAGAAGGTGCAGGAGGAGTCTGGGGGTGATGCAAAGCCTGCCCCAACCCTGTCCCACTGCCACCTGCCCTGGGGATCGCAGTGCCACCGCCTCGTCCCCCTGCCAGGCTGGCACTGTCCCCTGAAGTAGCCCCTGTCCTTGGCCTCCTGCTTTCCCAGCCTGGCTGTGGGGTGATGGCTGGTCCCTATTGTGTGCCGGGGTGGGAGCGGTGCCGTCCCTTTCCCCAGCCGGGACCAGCTCGGAAACGGCTCCAAAATGCCTTTGTTCCCCCCGCGCCAGAGTGGCTCCCCCGGCTGTTTATAGCCCATTGATCTGCCTGTTCCCAGGCCTGGCCGGGCACAATTGGGCTTTGGGGGGGCCTCGCTGCCCCGTTTCCTCTCCCAGGCCCATGCGGTGCCGGTCGGGGGGGCTGCTCCAGCGTGGTGGTGGAGTGATGCCGTTGTGAAGGGCTGAGCCCTGATGGTGACAGTTTGGGCATTGATGGCACCTGGCAGGGCAGCCCCTGCCCTGTGCCTGTCGTGGCTGCCTGTCGTGCTTCCAGCTGTTTTTTCATCAGCTGTTTCCCATGTGTCCAGGGACTCCCGTGTGTCCCCCTGGCTGTGGGGCTGTGGATTCCTGCAGGCGCTGGGACAGGAGTGAAGCCACTTCCCTGAGCCCCGTCGCCTTTCTCCTGAGCCCTCCCTTCCTCCCATTGAATCCCAACAATGTGCTGCCTGGGAAGCGCCAGCGGGACGAGAATAGGAGCCGGCAGGCACTCAGGGCTGGGGTGAGCAGCCAGAGGCAGCTTTGCTGAATAAACCATTATCATAAAAACCTGCCCTCCCGAGCCTGCCCTTGGCTCCTTGGTCTGTTCCAGCAGGTTTGTAATCCAGGTGTTCCCAGTATGGCCCAGCTGGGCACTGCAGTGGGAGTGTGCCAAGGAGCTGTGCCAGCAGCCAGCCTGTCCCCAGGCAGGGAGTCCCATGCCTGGCCTCGAGGCTGGCATTTTGTAGGGGAGCATCCTCCAAGGCTTGTCCAGCTTCAGGGATAACCCCGTGTCCAGAGCCAGCTGTGGCTGCATAGTGCCATGGGGCAGGGATTGAATCCAGCAACCAGAAGTGCTCCCTGTCCCTGCCCAGCCCATGGTGGGCATGTCCCAGGCTCAGGGGGGTCAAGGTGGCTGTGGTGCCCTTGGCAGGGCCCTGGTACCTTGTTGGCTCCGAGGGTGGCTGCGGCTTCCCAACAGACCCTCTGCCCTGCCCGGGGCTGGGTTTGTCCCTGGGGTCCATCATGAGCAGCTCACGAGAGGAGCAGGTGGTGGTTTCCGGAGGCAGGATGCAGGGATCCAGCTGTGCCCCAGCTCCCTGGGGTGGCTCAGGGGCCTGGGACAGCTGCTGTGCAGGATGGGGGGCACTGAGACCCCCCCCAGCCGCTCAGCACACCTGGATGGCCGCAGCGGACGTCCGGTGAGATCAGACAGGGACGCACCAGCTGTGCAGGGCTGGGGACACTGTGATGTGACCCTGCGCTGGCACGGGGATGGCCCAGGGCCGGCTGGCCCCTTCCCAAAAGGATGAGGACACTTTGGGAGAGAGGAGCAGTGTGGGAGCTGGCGGGGGGAGCTGGGGCCTGCAGGGACTCACGCTCCCGTGTCCCGTCCTGGCACAGCGCGGTGATCCCGGGACACCCTGACCCTGCCCGTGGCGCGGTGTCCCCGTGGCTCGGGGACCCAGAGGGTGCACGGCAGAGCAGGCAGCTCGTCCCCTCAGTGTGTCCCCCACAGCCCCTGGGGACATCTGCTCCCTCCCAGCCCAGGCTTTTCCCAGGCTCCAGTTTTACCCTTTTCCCAAGAGCAGCCGAGTCCTTTCCCAGCCTTCACATCTCACTTGCCTCTTCCTGCCATGGCTCCCTCCAGGCCGGGCCTGGTGGCTCCTTCCGTGGCCGGCAAAGGCCCTGAAGTACCGTGGGAGAGGAGCAGTGACATCTCTTGAGCCCTGACTGGGGACAGCTGCAGTGGGACGTGTTCCATTCCCACTCGGCATTGCCTTTTCCAGCAGCCACAGCCCAGGGCTGACTCCCCATCCCCAGCACCCCAGGACCACCACAGCTCCTTGTTTTCAGACAGCATCCACCTTCCCATGCCAGGAAAAGCCCCCGGCTCTGCAGGCAGCAGCCCCTGCCCGCCCGGTGTCGCATCAGGACGATGCCCTGAGGTGCTGGCAGGGGTAGGACCCATCCCAGGGTGGGCACCGCGGTCCTGGTGCCTCCACACGAGGAAGTGGCCGGGGTGGGGGAGTGACAATGTCAGGATGCGGGAAGTCGTCGGGGCTATTGAGCGCGTTTCCTCCCGCCCGCGGTTCTCACACAGGGTGCATTGTCTGCCGTGCCCGCGCGTGGAGGGCTAAATATAACCCCGGGGAGGAAGGGAGCTCCGTGGGGTTTGCCTTTCCTTCGCTGGCAGCGGCTGGAAAGGGCAGGATTGCTCCTGGTTTGGGGTTGCCCTGGTGGTGAGTGCTGCTGTGGACAGGGCTCCGTGCCTGGCCTGGGAGGATGCTCCCGCCTGCTCCTGCTCCCTCTGAAGATGTGTGGGAAGTGGGGCACTGGGAAGCTGTGGGCAGAGCCCCGGGCATGGACAGGGCCCCTGCAGGGAAGGGGGGCCCTGCCTGCCATGGCCCTGCCCATCACCCTGCCCGTCCTCCCCCTCAGCTGTGATTCTGCTCCTGCTGTGGCTCTTCCTGAGAGTGGGCCAGATTTAGACACTTGCTGTTTGCTGTGCACTGGGAAAGCTTAAAAATAAACCCCTTGGTGCTCATCCAGTGTCTTTGGCAGAGCTTTTCAGGCAGGACAGCCCTCTGCACCAGACCATGGCAGAACTGGGCAGGGAGAGCCCAGCACAGACTCATCCTAACTGGGAAGAGGGCAGAAACATCTCTATAGAGGAGCCACAGGGCTCCTGGGGGCTGTGACTGTTGTTAGACCAGCACCCCCAGAGGGAATTGGGGTCCCGGGGAGTGTGTGGCCCCTCCAGGACTGGCAGAGCTGCCCCAAAGTGTTCCCTAACTCAGGGGGTGCCCCATGAGGAGCCCCCTCCCTGCAGCCCCCGAGCTGCCTGTGCCAGCACAGGGCTCAGCATCCCAGTGCTGGGGGAGGAGGCACCGGAGGGGCCTGTTTGCTCAGGAGGGAGCATGGAGGTGTGAGAAAGGCTGGCCACTGTCTGTCCCTGGGCTGTGCCAAAGGGCTGTGCCAAAGGGCTGTGCCAAAGGGCTGTGCCGGGCCAGCCCGGGCCCTTATCAGCTCCAAACTTTTATTTGCCTAAGGGCTGCCCTCCCTCCTGGGGGGGTGCTGCCAACCCCGGCCCCGCTGCCTCCCCCTCCCCGCAGGTGAGCCCCTCGCTGTTGTTGTTGGCTGTGCCACGGCGGGGCCGGCGGCGCAGGGTCACTCCGGCTGCCCCCAGCGCTTTGTCACAACACGGGAACAATAGTGGGACGTGGAGCTGTGTTTGGGCACCGTGTCCAGGGGCTCGGCCGTCTTGTTTTCCACCTTGCGGGGTCGCTGGGAAAAGCGTGACGCTCCCCCCGTGCCAACAAAAATAGGAGTCCCGGAGCGGGGAGGTGAGCGGGGGACACGGCGGTGGGTAAACACACCCACCCAGAAGGGTGGGCTGCTCCCATCCCTGTCACATGGGCACGTCCTTCTGGCCCTGGGCTGCTCTCCCCAGAGCCACAGTGCGGCTCTGCAGCTCTGATGGTGCCCAGGGAATACTGGGCTGTGGCCCCCCAGGGTGGCCCAGGGGATCCCCATCGGGCAACAGTGGGAGCAGGGCAGGGTCCCTCTGGAGATGGTGGGAGCAGGGCAGAGTTATCCCAGGCAGGGTTTACCCCAGCATCCTCGTGGAGGGAAGAGCTGGGAGCTGGTGGTGTGCACCCCAGGCCCCCACCCAGGGGGATTTCACCCCCCTTGTCCCCTGGAGGGAGGAAGCCAAGGGTGGGCTCAGCCACCAGCCCAGGCTCTGCCCCAAGAGCAGCTCAGCCGGGTGCCTCCCTCGTCATTTCCTCCAGGGGCCGATGGCAGCGATACTGCCCCGTATCACCCATATTTCATCTTCTCCAGGGTATTTTTAGCCCGTTCCACCCTTGTTGGAGAGGCCCTTGGCAGAGAGCAGGCTCTGCCCTGGCCTGGCTCAGCCAGAGAAACTAAACAACAGCCCCAGCCACATTGTGTGCCTTTATCTGCAGCTCATTTCCACCTATTATGCAGCCACAAGCAGCTCCACGGCCTCTGCTGGGTTTATCTGCAGCACAGGGAGGGGGACTGAGCTCTGCCTGGGGCCGCCATGGGCCTGTGACATGACAGCCCTGTCAGAACCCTGAGCTGAGGCTGGGCTCAAGGGGACAGGACACTACAGCAGGGACAGTTGTGCTTTCAGTGGATGAGTGACCTACTGTCCCCCCCAGTCCCATCACTCTCAGGACAGCATCCTTCCCCCTCCCTCAGCCCCAAACCCTCACGTGCCCTCCCAGAATCAGCTGGAGGCTTCAGGAAGCACAGTCACATCACACTTCACCTTTTCTCATTCATCCAACTTTATTCAACAAGATGCAACACCGAGTCTGCCAGAGGGAAAGGAAACAGCACTGAGGGCAGTGCCCACATCCTGCACTCGTGCCTGGGTCACACAGGAGCTTCAGCCCTTTGGTCACAGCAGGACCATCCCCTCTCACAGCATCAGTGGGCTGGGGAATTTGGGGGACAGGTCCCATGGCAGCAGTTGGTTCTTCCATCCCCCCCTGGCACCTCAGCCCACAGCAGGAGATGACTAGTGCAAAGTAATAAAACCCAGTGACCCTTCGAACCAGAAGCTGCTGGTCTGATTCCTCCCCATAACCCCAAGGGCTCCAAGGCACATGGACAGGGCTCCCCAGATCCCCTGCAAACTGCACCTTTAAGACAGAAAGCTCTGTGCTCAGGCCAGCAGGTTAAAAATAACTTAAAGGCACGCATCCCATGGGAAAGGGTCCAGGGCCGGGAGGGCAGAGGGAACTCACACTCCTGGGTCACCCGTGGTGACCCTGCAGCCATCGGGATCTGCCGGTCACGACAGAGCTGCCACTGGATTAACCCCCCTGTGTCCCATGGGGAGGGGGCAGCTCGGGCAGCAAACCCTGGACAGATGCCAGGGTCACTGCAATGGGACGGGGCTGGTGGCCAGGATCTGTCAGCACTGCTCCAGCCCAGCTTCCCGTGTCTGTCCCAGGCTCAGCCTGCTCCGTGTGGAGGCTGGAGGGGAGCAGCTTCCCACGGCCATGCTCCCGGCTCTCATCCCGGCAGAGGCTCTGGGGTCCGGCTGAGCCACAGCTCCCGATGGCCAGCAGCCTCCTGCTACAGCCCCAGGGACAGCCTGTTCCACAGGGTGGCTCCAGGGATTTCTCCCTTTCCCAGAGTGAGGCACACACGGGACGCGGCGTCCCAGGGAACTTTCTGCAGTTTCCTTCCTTGCGGGGTCATTGGGGAAAACAGAGGAGAGCAGAGGCTGCGCTCAGCCCCGCTCCCGAGCATCCCGCCTCCGGAGGGGAGTGTGTCCGTAAGGCACAGCACCAGGCAGGAGGCAGCTGCCTGCCCACAGGCAGCACCTCTGCAGGCAGGTGGGACAGGGGAAGGTCCCCCTGCCAGCCAGGGCCAGCCTGGCACTACACATACTGCTTTTTGGAGGCCGAGCTCCCGGGCCGGCTGCATGGCTTCTCCTCTGGGGCAGAGGCTTCAGCAGCCCGGGGGGCGTAGGGGTCCGACAGGGGCCTGCTGCCGCTGCCCAGCGCCAGGCTCTCCTCGTTGTGGAAGTTGGCCCAGTTCTGCTCGCTGGAGAGTTTGTTGTAGGTCTGGTAGGATGGCACGTGGCTCTCGGCCATGGGCAGGAACGGGTAGTGCTTGGGTGCGTAGGGATCCGACACCACGTCCTGGGCAAAGACGTCCCGGCTCGGTACGACCGGCCCCGACACCTTCTTGATGTTGCTGAGCAGGTTCTTGCAGCAGAGGTGGAAGAGCTCCAGGAGGTTCAGGATTAAGGAGATCAGGCCCATCACCAGCATGAAGATGATGAAGATGCTCTTCTCGGTGGGGCGGGAGATGAAGCAATCCACCTGGTGGGGGCAGGGGTCCCTCTTGCACACGTAGCGGGGCACCATGGAGAAGCCGTACAGGTACCACTGGCCGACAAGGAAACCAGCCTCGAAGATGCTCTTGCAGATCACACTGGTGATGTAGGTCCACATCAGCGCCCCTCGGATCTTGAGCCGCCCATCCTCTGTCACGTAGATCTTGGACATCTTCTTCTCCACGGCTGCCAGGGCCTGCTCGATCTTCGGGTCCTTGCTGTGGACAGCCCGAAGCTCACTCTGCTGCTGCTTCAGCTTCTCCTCCCTCCGGGACAGATAGATAACGTGGCCCAGGTAAATCAGGGTCGGGGTGCTGACGAAGAGGAACTGGAGCACCCAGTAGCGGATGTGGGAGATGGGGAAGGCTTTGTCGTAGCAGACGTTGGTGCAGCCCGGCTGCTTGGTGTTACACACGAAATCCGACTGCTCGTCCCCCCACACGGACTCCCCGGCCAGGCCCAGGATGAGGATGCGGAAGATGAAGAGCACGGTGAGCCAGATCTTCCCGATCACGGTTGAGTGCTCCTGGACTTGGTCCAGCAGTTTCTCCAGGAAATCCCAGTCACCCATCTTCTGGGGAGCCTGTGCCTCTGCCAGCAGAGAGGGAGAGCAGGCACATCAATTCCCTCTTTCCATGCCGAGGAGCACGGGGCAGGTAGGGCCACCTAAGCCTCGTGATTTTTTGGGATACAGCTGCTCTGAAGAGTGTCCCAGCAAACCCACTGAGGGACATCCCACACCTGAGGGAAGCACCCAGGCTTTCTGAGACCCGGAGGGCTCCTTCTACTTACGCCTGCCCAGTGCAGGAACACGGGGCAGGGGGAGAAGAGGCAGCACAGAGGTTCACCTGCCCCAGCAGCACCCAGCCCAGAGCACCCACAGCTCATGGCTGTGGGATGCTGGACCCCCAGCACTCTTCCCTCACCCAGGGGACCCCTAGCACCCCTCACCGACCTCCTGCTGCTGTGGGGACCCCTTGGAGCCCAGCCCGCACCCCGCGGGTGCTCAGCCCCGCAGCCCGGCTGGGAAGGAGCAAGAGGGCGGCTGCAGCCCCGGCTCCTTATTAACCGCTGCTAATTAAGCGCAGAAGTGCCGGCTGTGCCATTAAAGGCACCTCGGCAGCGGCGGGGCGAGGGGGTATCCGCGGTGGGGGTGTTCCGTCCCCAGCACGGTGTCCCTGAGCGGCGCCGGTGTCCCGGGGGTCCTGGCGGTCCCCACTCACCTCCGCTGCGCCGGGAACGTCCCGCCGGGCTCGGGCCGCGCTGAGTGTGAGGGGTCGGGCCGGGATCTGCGGCGGCTCCGGTCGTGCGGGGCCCGGGGGAGGAGCGCGGCAGGAAACCGGGGGGCCGGGGCTTAGTGCCGGGCCGGGCCGCAGGTGTGCGGGGCCGCCCCTTCCCACCGCCCCCCGACGAGGGGGCGGCCCCGGCGGGCGGGGCGGGGGCAGCGGGGACCCCCAGAGACGGCCGGGACCCGTCGGGGCCGAAGCCGGTGGGGGACAGTGGGAAATCCGGCTGTTCCCGCCCGCTCGTCCCCGGCTGCGGCTCCGCCACCGGGCAAACCCGCTGAGCGGGGCGGGGACCCCGGGGATGCTCCGTCCGCTGCCCCGTGTCTCCGGGATGCTCCGTCCCCTGCCCGACAGCGTGTCCCGGGAATGTCCCGTCCCCCGCCCAGCGTCCTGGGGATGTCCCGTCCCCTGCCCGGCGGGGTGTCCCGAGGATGCTCCGTCCTCCGCCCGGTGTCCGTGTCCGGGGATGTTCCGTCCCTGCCCGCTCGTGGTTGCCCCCGCGGGTCCGTGCGGCGCGGCGGGCGCTGGGTGGTGCTGGAGCCCCACCGGAGCGCGGCCCCGGTCCCGCATCCCGCCGGTTCCCGGGATGAGCCCCACCGGAGCCCTGCCCGGGACCTGCCCGCGAGTTTCAGACGGAGCTTTGCTGTCGGGGGTCTCGGCACACACCACAACACGCTCGTGGGGCTGCGGAGTGCGGGCGGGCCGAGCGGAGCTGGGAACAGCGGACCCTCCGCTAGCGCTGGAGAGATTAAATGGAAATAATTTCTATTTATTATAATATTTCTCAAGGTTTAGTAAATAATTGATGCTGATCCTTCCTTGATTTCCTTGGGGGCCAGCGTGCGGTTCTGCTGAGTTAAGGTTTAACGACGCGTGACAAGCCGGGAGAGGCGGAGCGGGAGGAGTGAGCCCGACCCGGGGCTCGACTGCCCTGCCCGGCTCGGGCGGATGAGGAGCACCCGGCTGCGGGCTCCTGGGGAACCTCTGCAAATCCATGTCATCTGCCCTCACCAGTCCCCCCGATTTCCAGCGAACAGAGCAGATTCCAGTGTCTCCAAGCAATGTTTTATTGGATCCGTAGCTTGTGCCATATGTGACGTGTCCGTCCGAGGTGAGTGGGACACAAGAGGCACCAAGGGAAGCAGCAGAGACAGCAGTGGCATTTGGGCAAGACGTGGCACGGCGCTCGTGTGAGCCAAGGGGGAGAAGCTGCCCTGCCCCAATACTGTCAAACTGGGCAAACTGGGCCGAGAGAACAGTTGGCAACAGCCTGGAGCTCTGCTCCTCTGTCATTGCTTCAGGTGCATGAAGAGAGCTCCTGCTATGGTGCCGAGCCCAAAATTCCTTTGGGTTTTTTGGTACAAAATACAGGAGGATGAAACAGTGCTTGGGACTGTGCACTTGTGAGGCACAGCAAGCTGGGACTGCCACCATGCTGGGTGACACCAGCTCTGGTGGGGCACCAGTGAGTGCACTCACACCCACCATGGGAGCAGCAGAGCTGGAGGACCTGAGAAGACATGGGAGGATCTGTGTGTAGTTGTGATGTCCAAGCTTGTGGCACTACTCTGTGCATCTGGCAGAGCTCCAGGGCTGCCCTCGCCTTACCTGTGTCTGCCCAAGCACCCATGGGTCTCTCTCCAGGGATATTAGTTTGTTGGGTTTAGTCATTTTTCACACAGGTTGACTCTTGAGGATTCAGGGGTGGCTGGAAAAGCTGCTGGACCAAGGGGAATGTGAACCAGCTGGGACGGGCGAGCTCACAGCTCCTCTCCTCTGTGGGAAGAACAGACACCCTCAGGCATGCCCACAGGCAGCCAGCACCCACCTGCCACCACGCCACTGGGACACCTGGGGATGTGCCCACGGTCCCAGGCAGGAGAGTTCCCATGGATGTGTCCCTCTCCCCTCACAGCCACCGAGGTCCTGGCTGAAGAGTCCGGCGGTGACATCACTGGTGGTCATGTCTGGTACCAACCATCCCTGGCACATGCCAGGACACCTTCTCCCTCCACCCTCCCCTCCCAGCACCCTTCAGACAGCAGTCAGGGCTGTCACACACCTAGTCTGGGACTTGTTGTCCTTCTCCTCCGACTTGAGGTGGCAGTGGCAGGTGGAGGCCTTGCTGTAGCTGACGGAGCGCTTGGATTTCTTCCACTTCCGTGCACCGCGGACAACTCGCTTGAAGATGAGGTAGAAGATCTCACAGACGGTGAGGATGATGCAGATGGAGGAGGCTCCGACCATGAAATAGGTGAAGACCCTTTTCTCGGTGGGCCGAGCGATGTAGCAGTCCACGGTGTTGGGGCAGGGATCCACGTTGGTGCACTTGACCAGCCGTGGCAAGTCGAAGCTGTCCCACATCTTGTGGAGGAGGTAGAGGAACAGGATCTCTATGATAAGCTTGAAGAAGAGGCTGAGCAGGTAGGTCCACCACAGCCCGCCGTGCTTCTTGCCCGTGTTGCTGTAGAGCTTGGGGCAATTCTCCCCGTTCTTCTCCCGGTTCTTCTTCTCGCGGTCCTCCCGGTAGGCCACGTGCATGATGACCAGGAGGGAAGGGCAAGTGACAAAGATGAGCTGCAGGGCCCAGAGGCGGATGTGGGAGATGGGGAAGAAGTAGTCATAGCAGACGTTGGTGCAGCCCGGTTGTCGCGTGTTGCAGTCAAAGTCCTTCTGCTCGTCGCCCCACACGCGCTCGGCAGCCACCACGTAGACCAGGACGCGGAAGACGAAGACCACGGAGAGCCAGATGCGGCCAAAGGCTGTGGAGTACTTGTTGACCCCGCTGAGCAGTGCCTGCAGTGTTTTCCAATCCATGGTGGCCGGTGGAGACCAAATTCACCCGACCTGGAGAGGCGGCAGGAGCGGAGGGTGAGGAGCAATGGGAGGTGCGTGTCCCTCACTGCACTAAATCCCACTGACCTCTGGGCTCCCCCACCACGCTGCACTCATGTGGGGTGGGGGGACCATCACCCTTGCACACAGTAACACCCGTCCCCACACTCTCCTGGTGACAGAGGTGACTCAACCTCTCAGCACTTCCTTCTGACGGAGCCTCTGCCCCAAGGGATGAGCCACCTGGCCAAATCCCCACCACCAACCCCCCGCCTGACTGCTGTGTTGGTGCAAACCTACAGCAGGATCTGCTGGAGTGAGCCAGGATCAACAGCCCAAGGGGAAGTGGCTGCTGCAATGCTGGGCTGCTGGGACACGCCAGGGACCGGTTTTTCTGTCTCACAGGTGATGCCCGAGGCAGCCCAAGCACAGGTGAGAGCGGGGCTGCAGAAAGGGACAGTCTGTGTGTGTCACCAGCACGTCACCCTCGCTGGGGCTCCGCTCCTGCTCCCACTCCTGCCCCCCCAGCAGCAACACCGGAGGCCCCGATGGCCAAAGCAGCTCCACAGCTCAGCCTGGGGCTGCCCCACACGAGGAGGGTGGCACATTAAGCCCAACCCGGAGCTTTACTGCACCTGGATTTACAAACCCGGGTGGATTTTATAACCCTCTGTGCTGTGAAGGTGCCTGCCCTGACAAAGGGATTCACAGGACTGCAGCTGGGTCATTCCCACTTTTAAGGAGCTGCCGCTGCCCGTGGCCAACCCAGTGCCCTCCGAGACGTACCTGGAGGAGGCTCAGGCTCCTTCCCTGCTCACAGGGAGTTGTGGGGTGGGAAGTGCCCAGCACAGGGCATGGCGGGGGTGTGATGGCACTCTGGTGATCAGGGTCCCCTCATCCGGGGGGGGCTGCACAGTGCAGTGTCCCGGGGCTGCAGGGAAGGAACAGAGCCTGGAGCACTGCCTGGAGCACTGCCCGGAGCCCACAGGGCTGCCCGGGAGCCCAGCCTTGGCCAGAGCCAGCCTGCAGCGAGCCCCAGACCCACCGCTCTGCTCCCACACTGCTCCCACACAGGGACACCTCGGCAAGCAGCTGAGCCAAGTGGGGCCAAGCTGAGGTCCTGTGCCACCAAGTGCCAGGGCAGTGCCTCTGCCCATGCCCACCTTCCTTCACCACCCTGCTGAAAACAGATCGTCCTCCCTGGCAAACCAGTGAGCCGGGGTGGGGAACAACCACAGCATTCCCACCCAGCCCTTGGAACCAGCTCCTTTAAACTCAGGAGAGGGGGGCTGCTGCTTTCCTCCCAAACGCTGGTGCTGGTGGCTGAACCCGGAGTCCCTGCACATCCCCAGGGCCCGTGCCTCCCCCACCAGCCTGCCAATTCACCCATGCCCCCACCCCCAGTGCCCTGCCAGCACCCACCTGCCCAGCTCAGCCCAGTGCCAGCTCCAACCATGGACCCGCAGCAGGGTGGGAAGGGGATGTGACCCCCATGCCAAGCTCCGTGCTGAGCCCCGTGCCAGTCCCTGTGCTCTGGGAGCCTCGCAGCTCCCCCGGTGCTGGCTGGGTGCCAGGCAGGGCAGGGGCAGCGCTCAGGTGTGCTCAGCTCTGCCGGCAGAGCCGATGTGCTCCCGCAGAGCTCAGCACCCTCGCCAGCCAGCCCCCGGAATGCCAGCCTGCTGCGTCACCGCCGCGTCCTGCCCCGCGTGGGCACAGGGCGTTGGACCCGAAAGCGCCCGGCTCCCACCTCTGTGGGGTGCAAACTCAGCAGAGCCACTGTCTCTGGGGGGCTCAGTCCACGAGGAGGGTGGTGGGACAGAGGAGCAAGGCCTGGGGTGGCCATTCCTGCTCCCGGGGGGTGCCAGGCTGTGCCATCCCCCTGTGTCACCCCCCAGGGACAGGGGCCCTGGCACAGGCTGGGGGGTCCTGTCGTGGCACGGTGTGATGTTGAGGTCCCCACTTTTGGCCCCTGCAGGCCCAAGAGTCCCAACCATAACCCAACTCCCCCCTGCACCCCGTCACACCAAACACAGCTCCCACTGTGCCCCGTTACACCGCGGGGTCTGTCCCCCACGGCCGGAGGTCCCCAGCAGCCCCCCAGCACCCTGTGCCCCTGGAGGTACCTGTCCCGCAGGGAAGGAGCTGCAGGAAGGTTTCCAGATCCAGGCAGCTCTCGGAGTAGGGAAGCTCCTTCCCAGCCACAGCCCTCCTGCACACCCAGGGCTTGTCTGTGGAGCTGAGTGTGTGTGGGGAGGGGAAGGGTGGTTGGTTCAGTTCCCAGTAACTGGGTGAGTCTGGCAAACAGCTCCTGGAGAGGTTCTTGTCTGTGCACATGCACACACACGCTCGGGTTGAACAACAAAGGACATCGATGGGGCCGGATTCCTCCACATGCAAGACGAGCAGCTCCTGCCAGGTGATGCCCTGACCCCCACCAGGGTGGTCTGGGCACTGCAGACCCAGCAGCAGGACCAGGGTGACAGGGGTGGACACTGGCCTTGCACCAGCCCCCAGCTGTGGGGCCACCAGCACCAGTTGCTAAGAACCACAGATGACTCAACTCCTGAAATGATTTTGCTGTAGTAGGAGTTTTGCAACAGCTCCCTGGTATCTCCAACCAACAGGAACTTGCAGCCACCACCCTGGTGGGGCCGGGACAGTCTGATGGGACCTTTCCCAACCAGCAGGATGGCAGCAGGGTCCCCATGCAGCGGGACCCTGCCCTGCTGCTGCCTCCAGCTGCACCCCCGTGGGACCTGGAATGTGTCCCTGAGGGGGATGTCCCTCTCCCCAGAGCACTGGTGGCTCCCAGGAGGCTGAGTCAGCCTCATCCTGCTGGAGCAGCCGGATGCCCCATGGAGCAGCCCCATTTGAGGTCTTTGCCAACACAGCTCGGCAGGAATGTGCCTCCCCTTGCCTTCGGTTCACCTGGTCTTTAAAGTGCCCTGAGGCTTTTCCGGCATCCTCTGGCACGCCCTGGAGACAAGTGGCAAGGGAGCCTCACGGGAGCCTTGCCAGGGCCACCCCTCCCATGGGACACATCTGAAGAGCCCCTGGGTGCTTGGTACCCAAGAGGTTTGCTCCCCGCTCTCCTGGCGGACAAGGAGCCACTTGCCCAGAGGTTTCTTGGCTCCAGGAGGTCAAATAAAGCGAGTGAGGGTTTGCCCAGCTGGGGACACTCAGGAATGGGAGCCCAGGAGATGCAAAGCCAGGAGATCCAAAGCAAGCCCTGGTCGGAGCCTGGGGTGCAGAGTGGGGTGAGCCCAGAGGAGGGGGCAGGCACAGGAACCCCCATCCTGGACAAGAGCAAAGTGGGAGCTCCCTCAGCCAGGAACTGCCCTGTCCTATCAGCAGGATCAGGAATTTGAGCTATGTTGTTGCAGAGAGCTTGTCAGGAATCTGGGGGCTGTGACCCTCGAGATGATAAACCCAGGAGAGAGGGAAGTTGTTGAGAACACTGGCAGCTCTGATTTCTTGTGCAGGCAGCAGCTCCCTGCCCTGCGGCCAAACACTGTAAGAGCAGGGCCAGACCCCCCCTTGGGCAGTCTCTTGCCTGCAATTTTGGAATTTCAGGAGAGGCCACGTGGCCATGGTGAGAAAGTTCAGGTGCTTTTGGCCTGGGCAGATTTCCCTGAGGCAGTTGGGTGGGGAGCAGAAACACCCCGTGCTTTGCAGTGTTTTGCAGCGCTGAGCTGGGTGTTTGCCAGCAAAGGGCACATCCCTGTGCCCCCTCCACCACCCCTCTGCCAACTGGTCCAGTGTGGGCACAGGGACAAGGTGCCAGCATGGTTCAGCAGCTCTCAGCACGCGAGAACTTCAGGTATGTGCCCCGGGTATGTCACCACGTTGCCACCCTGCTCCAGCTCAGCGGGGTGATGGGTGAAAGGCTTCAGTGCCAGATGTGAACACTGAAACACCCACTGACCTCCAGAGGCTTCACCTTGGATCCTCCCCAAAGGAAAAACCCAAGCAGAGGAGCAGGTGGCCACCACACCGGCAGAAAAACCTCCAAGTCCCTTTTAAAGAGTCTTAGATGGGGTGTCACAGGAGGTTGGACTCAGGCCTTTTATTTCAGCTTCCTGCCTGCCAACAGCATCCCAGCTGTCCTGCTCCAGGGCCACGTCCCCAGGGATGAGACTCCCCCACGAGCACAGGGCACAGGAGTCACGGGGTCCTGGGAGCAGCCACTGGCTCCAGCACACTGGACATAAATCAGAGAGTTTCTCCTCAATTCCCAGCAAAGAGGAGGGGTTTGGCCAGGGAAGAAACAGGCCCAAGCTAGGAAGGCCAGGCTACCCCTGACCTGCACACACAGTCCTCTCCACATCCCTGCCTGGGTTGGAGTTACTGGTGGGTTTCTTTCAAATCCCCTCTCCCCTGGATTCAGGGGCTCTTCTGGGACCCCACAAGAACATACAGGGGGAATCCCTGTGTGATGATGCAAAGTCTAGAAAATAGTCAGCTTTTATTTTGACACCTCCCAGTTTATTTGCTTTGCTGACACTGGTCCTGCCTCTGTATCCCAGGACATGTCCCAGCTCCCAGAGCCCTGTTTCTGCACCAACGACCGGGGCAACTCGAGGGGAAGCACATCAGAAAGAACCAGCCAAACACTCCCGTTTGTGGGGCTGGTCAGGGCTGATCCCAAGCCTGGGTGGTGCAAGACACCCCGAGCTCTGTGGAGCAGCTGCAATGTCTGCCCTGAGCACCACAGAACTGCACAACAACACCCAGTAACTGGATCTTCAGGTCTCTCGCAGCGGGGCAGCAGCTCCAGCTGTGCTTTGATGTGGGGAAGTGGGACAGGGAGGTTCTCCTGGGGCTCATCTGCCCCATTAGTGCCTGCACAGGGAACACCTCGGGGTTTCACCCACGGGACAGCCCGGATTTGCAGCGGCCAACCTTGCTGGAAAACAAACAGCCCAGCCCATGCTCTTTAAATCGGGGCAACGGCTCGCACACAAAGAACAACTTTGTGTTCTCTCTGGCGTGAGAGGCCCCAGGAAAGAAAACTTTTGGGTGCCTGATCCAGCAATGGGAGCGCACGAGAGGGAGGCAGACACCAAGCACAGCTTCACATAGAAGGAGGTGGGAAAAAACCTACCTGTGTTCTACCATCTGCCTCTCACCTCAAAGGTTTCCAGCCTCGGTGGTGTCAGCACAAGGAGCTGCTGCGTGCCCAGAGGGTTCTGGGCTGATGGCTGGGATGCCCCCAGGGCTTCTCCACCATCCTCACCCTTATGGGGTGGCTGGTTCAGGCCCTGCCCTCCCATCCAGCAGTGCTGCAGCCCTGCCTGCCCTTGGCATCCCCCCAGCCCTGCCTGCCCTCAGCATCCCCCTGGACACAGCGGTCCCTCTGCCTCCCCCTCCAGCACATCCAGCTGGTCCTTTCCCAAGGTGGGCTGTGGGAAGGGGCTCAGCTTTGCCCAAGTGGGAGCTGGTTTGTTGGAGCAGCAGTAGCTGCAATGAACTGTCACCAAGAACGGCCCTGATCCTAAAGGACACAGGGATGGTGTTCCCTCGCTCCCTGTGCTGCTTCCTTTGGGGCAGAGCCAGCGAGTGCTGTCCCTGCTCATGGAAAAAATAATAATCACACCCTCTAAATAAAGAGAAACCAATAACAGATTGAGCTACGTGTTCGATGTTAATGCTACTTACGAGTGCATTTGCCATGAAATTGTTGTGAATTATTCATCCCAGCTAATGCTTGGTGATGGCCTCCAAAAGGACAGTGCCGCTCACGTCACGGCCCAGCGCGACACATTACAGCAATAACTGAGATCAGATTCTGCCATTTAATGTTACTGTTTAATCAATGGTTGGGGTGTTTTTCCTCTCCTGTACTCAGCTGTTTTGCTGGGGTGTTGTCCTCTGGCCAGGCAGGATGATCCAGCAGCCCACGGTGGGTGCTGCCTGCCCGGCCGGATCCTCACGCCTGCGCTTCCCCGCGGTGGCTGCGGCACCAGGGACCTGCTCTTGTCCCCACTCGGCTAATGAGTGTTATTAATGACGGTTGCATCAGTCTGAGATGGCCCTGGCACCCACACTGTGGCTGATTTAGGCTGAGGGACAGGGAGATGGGTTCCTTGGGGGATCAGGGTGTCTTTCCAGCTCAAAGTCTGGGCACTGCTGCCAGTTCACAGCTGCCACGGAGCTGCTGGTCCCTGTGGCTCTCGGGCACTGCATGTGTCCTACAGCACGTGGTTTACCCCAAATTCAGCAGGACGATGTCATGTGTCTTCCCCAGAACAGGAGAAGCAGAGACTCCTCAGGCCCAGCCCAACTCCAGGGCGCTGCCCCCACCAGCGCTCCTGCGCCGGGGGGCGGAGGAGGAAGAGGGGGATGAAGGTGCCCGGCAGGTGAGAGGCTCCTGCTTTCTCCTGGGCAGCCCTAGGAAAGAGCCTCCTCCTCGGACGCCGTGCTGGGGCAGGACGCCGTGGGTGGGATGGTGGCCGTGGGGGGTTTGTAGTCCGCCCCATGGAAAACCTGTCCCGCCGTGCCCACGGGCTCGGCGCCGGGCAGCGGGCAGTCCTGGCTGTGCCGCCGGCTCTGCCCACCACCAGCCTGCAGGCACTCCCGGCACCGCTTGCCGATCAGGTAGGCGGCCTCGGCGAGGCTCAGCACGACGCAGACGCAGGCGGTGACCACCATGAAGAGGGTGAAGATGTTCTTCTCGGTGGGCCGGGAGATGAAGCAGTCCACCACGTTGGGGCAGGGGGGCAGCTCGCACTTCACCAGCCGGGGCAGGGTGTAGTTCCTGTAGAGGCGGTAGAAGATGTAGAGGAAGACCACGTCCACGCCGGCCTTGAAGATGAGGCTGAGCAGGTACGTCCACCACAGCCCGCCCCGCTTCTTGCCGGGGTCGGTGAAGAGGCGGCGGTGGCAGCCGTCCCCGCCGGCCTCACGCAGCCTCTGCGCCTTGGCCTCCCGGTAGGCCACGTGCATGATGACCAGGAGGGACGGACACGTCACCAGGATGAGCTGCAGGGCCCAGAGGCGGATGTGGGACACGGGGAAGAAGTGGTCGAAGCAGACGTTGGTGCAGCCCGGCTGCAGAGTGTTGCAGTCAAAGTCCTTGTGGTCGTCGCTCCAGACCCGCTCGGCCGCCACCACGTAGACCAGCAGGCGGAAGATGAAGACGAGGGAGAGCCAGATGCGGCCGAAGGCTGTGGAGTATTTGTTGACCCCGCTGAGGAGCCCCTCGAACGCGCTCCAGTTCATGGCTCCCCGATCCTGTTAGCTGGCCTGGGAAGAAGGAAGACACTGTGTCACCAGGGAGCAGCGAGAGGCCCCCACTGGAGCCCCCGTGTGCCCCAAGGCACAGCTCTTGGGACCCTCTCTGGCCCACGATCACATGCAGGGACCCCACCAGCACGTGCCCCAGCACAGACCTGGTCCAGTGATGTGTCTGCACCGAGCACCGTCCCCCACTTTGGAGACAGGAGGACCTGGCAAAACCTGGGGTTCTGCTGCAGCCACAGCATCCTCCAGCCACCACCAGCTCCAGCCCACAGCTCAGCCCCCATCCTGCACCGCCCGCCCCAGCTCCTGCCTCATTGCCCAGGTATTTGTTATTAATTTTCCTTACGTTGCCAGGCCTGGCCCGGGCGGACAACAGCGAGGAGCAGGCGGGCCGTGACTCACCCGGCCACGTCCTCTCCCACCGCTGGAATCTGCCGGTGCCTCTGCCCTCCCAGCCCTGCACTGACTGTGCCCCGTGTCAGAGCAGAGGCACTGGGTGGGCTGGGGGGGCTGCACGGCCCCTGCAATGATGAGGAGCTGACCCAGGGCTGGGTGGCCACCAGTGCTCACCAGCCCCAGCCCCTGCGTGGTTGATCTGAGCCTGGTCTGGGCCGTGCTGGAGGAACACCCCGGGCGCCGAGCGGGGCCCCTGGGGCTGCGTTTGGCACCGACTCCTTAAATATTTCATTATCAGGAAAATAAAAATCAGATTCCCCCTCGCCGAGGGGCTCTCAGGGGTGAACACATCCCCTGCTCTTTGCAGCCCGGCCCAGCCCGTGCTCCTGCTCACACAGACGTCCTGGTGCACGTCCCTGCTGTGGGAGCCGGTGGGTCCCATCTCTCCGGGCGGATCCCTGGGGACACACACAAACCCTCGATTCCTCCTCCTCCGTGCACGCTTCCAGCAGCAGCGCAGGATGTGCCCATCACCCCGGGGTCAGGGGGGGCAGATGCACTCCCCCAGCCCCACGTCCCCGGGGCAGAGCAGGGTCCCCACGCCACTCACCCGAGGTGTCCCTCGCCGAGGCCGGCGCTGCTGCAGGTCCGTGCTTGCTCTTGGCAGGAACGCATCGCCTGTGCAAGAGGCACCACATGAGTCATTCCCGGGCTCCTGGGAGCGAGGAGGAGATTCCCAGGGGGAAGGGATGAGGCTCCAGGCAGATCCCCACGTGTCCCATAAGCTGCCCGATTTCCCGAGGCGAAGGGCGGCCCCACAGTGTGCGGGGCCTGACCTGTTGCTGTGCAGGGAAGGGCTGTCTGCTCTCAGATGCTGCAGGGATGTTGGGGTGCCCAGTACAACCTGGGGTCCCTCCATCCCTTTCCTGCACCCATCAGCCCTTGCTCCAACACGGCCAAAGCCCTGGGAGCCCCTGCCCACGGCACCAGGAGTCGAACACCTCCCTTTGTAATCCTTTCTTTACTCAAACTTTGCACCATGGCAATACTTTAGGAGAGCCTTTATCCCTCCCCACCCTCTGACAAGTGGGTGGTAGCTGATTATTTTACTGGGAATTAATAAACTGCTTATCTATGCTCCCCTCGTCTGCAAGCTGGCACAAGCCTCTTCCCCATCACCCCTCCCTGATGCCAGAGCATGGAGCCCTCCCAAGATGAGCCCCCAGCTCAGAGAACCCCCTCTTTGAGGTCTGGCCCCTGTCTCACAGCTCTGGGGCACAGGGATGGGGGTCAGAGGGGCGGGGGTCCAAGGAGCAGGTGTGGTTCCAAGGAGAAGGTGTGGGGTGCAGGAGTTCAGGTGCTGCCGGAGTCATTTGAGGAGCAAACACACGTTTCATTTGCAATTCTGCTGGGGTTTAAAGAAAAAAAAAGAAAAACCGCAGAGAAACAAATCTAAACAGCTGTAAAGTAAATTACCAGTGTTTGCGGATGGCTCCAGGGAAGAGTTCTGCAGTTTGAAATCAAACAAGCCCGTTTTTATTTTTTTTTTAACATGCCTGTGTAGTGGCTGTGCCGTGAAGGGAGTTCCCAGGGGCTGTGTCCCCCACGGGCAGGCAGGGAGGGCCCAGAGCAGCTCCCACCCAGCAGCACCCAGCAGTGAGTGGGGGGATGTTCTGCCCCACGTGCCCCTAATTTTATGGGTGTCTGCAGTGGCTCTTGTGGCTTTCTGGGTTAAAATCCCCTCTTTTGGGGAGCTGCCAGGTGAAATGGGCATTTTCTGCTCCAGGTAGAGCCCCTCCACCCCTCCACAGGTGAGTCCCCGGTGCTGGGGACACGGAGGTGTATTAATGGCAGCACTTTATCTTCCAGGAACAAGCCCTATTAGTACATTTTCACTACAACATGAAATATTAATAACGCTTTGCATTTATATAGCGTCATTCATCCCGCAGTCACCAGCCAAGCTGCTGACATGAATCAAACAGCACAGCCAGCTCTGGAGGAGGCAGCAGGTAAATGGGACCAGACGCGTTTTCCCGCTGCACAGGGTTTTCTCCAGCTCACTGATGCTCCTGAGGATGTTGTGGGGGACAAAGCCAGGGGCTGCTTCCAAGAGGCACTGGCTGGTGCTGGGCTTCCACCTCCTCCAGCTGCTGCAACTGGAATTTGCTGTTCCTGATCCTGTGCTGACAGTGCAGGGAGGGGAGTTAGGAAACCTGTCAGCCCACGGAGAGCCAGGCCCCGACACGACCCGAGGGCTCTGGCAGCATGAAAGAGCAGAAGGGAAGGGCTGTTTTCATCTTGTTTAAGAGCCTCGTGTTTAAAGCCTCCTCCAGCTCCGGAGCACACGGTGACTGCGAAGGCTTTTCCACACCAGCTCAGCAGGAATCGCTGCTGCTGCCGGAGATGCTGCACGCAGACGCTGCTTGGCAGGGCGGGACCCCACTACTGACGCTGGATCGAGACACACAAACAGGTCCTGGGTGAAGTTCTGGAGCGGGGCGAGCGGCAGGGAAGGGCTGTTGGCACAGCCCCGCCACCCGCTGCTCCCTGTCCCCAGCACCGCGGTTATTCCGAGAGGAAGGCACCTTGTTTGTTTACTGATAATTAAGAGAACCCAAACAGATTAGTGAAAACTAAACACACAGAGCAGGCTGGATGTCGGCTCAGCCGCCGGGGAGAGTGGTGTGAGCACTCCCAAGCCGGGGAGAGTGGTGTGAGCACTCCTGGATGTTGGGGTCAAACTGGCTCTGCCGTGCCCGGCTCAGCCCTGGTACCCCCCTTCTCCAGCCCTGTGGCTGCCCACCGTGCTGCCAGCTGCACTCCCCATCCCACGGGATTGTTTAGAAGCTTTTCCACGGAAAACCCGTGTTCGTGGCCTGTCTGGATGAGAGCAGGCAAACCCTGCCTGACCCAGCACCCATTAATCATGGATTTATACCTGAGGCTGCAGGGAGTAACCTCATTCCTAGGGAGACCTTAATTAATCACACACTCAAACTGCCTCGATGAGGTGGTTTGCTTACCGAGGAGATAAATTCACGTGGTCAGCGGTGGCTGGGGATGGAGATGAGGTTCTCAGGGACCTAAATCATGGCAGCTGATGGTGGGGAGCAGAGCAAGGGCCAGGGCTGAGAAACCTTTCTCTGCACTGGGAGCAGATGAGTGGGGCACAGGGGGGAGATGCTGCTGTGGCACTTTGCCCCTAAAAAGGCTGAAATAAGAGTGTCTCAGCCTGTGCAGACCCTGCCCCTGCAATGGAGGCAAAGGAAGAAAGGAAGAACTCCTTTAGCTGGAGGGGGCCGCGGGCAGTCACACAGTCCCAAAACTCGGGGAGGGGTTGGGGGACTTGGATGCTCTCCCAGTAGGAGCAGAGTCCAACCCAGCCCTCAGCCCTGCTGACTGCCGCTGATGGGCCCCTTAACGCCTCTTTTGGGTTGTTTGGCCAAATAATCACCGTGCAAATGACATCTCTGTCCTTCCCGCTGACCTTGGCAGCATCCGAATGGGCGACCCGCAGGTCAGAGTCTTTATATCCCATTACCAGTCTCCTGAGTCACGTCTGTCCCCCGGCAAGTTACATTATTTTGAGATGGCAGCTAAATGGGAAAGAGGTCGCGCTCCCAATAAGGCGACAATAGGACATGACAGCACTTTTCTGAGTGATTAAGCCTCAGGTGATGTCGAGGCTACAAGACCGGTGGCTGAAGGCTGAAAGACTTTAATCACCCCGGAGGTGGCACTGCATCCTCACACTCCATCCTGCCGGGGTGGGCTTTTAGTGCGAAACGGGAGCGATAATAAAAATAATCCAGCCCAGCCTGCGCGTCCACTGGGTAGTTATTCGTGTTGCTGTTAATAATCAGCCCGGGCAGCCTGTTGGCCCTCAAAGAGCCTTCTGCAATAAATCAGCTCAGACGCCTTAAAATAACTGTCCGGGGCCGCCGGAGCAGACACTAGATGGCATTGGGGGAACGCGCTGAGAGGCACAGCCGCCTTCCCCGGAACAGTCTGGCAAAACAGAGCAGAAAACTCAGGATGACGGAGCAGAAAATGTCTCAGCCGGGGTGAGGCCACCATCCTCACACCCACCAGTTCACCTCCATCCCAAACCCACCAGTTCACCTCCATCCCAAACCCACCAGTTCACCTCCATCCCAAACCCACCAGTTCACCTCCATCCCCACACCCACCAGCTCACCTCCATCCCCACACTCACCAGATCACCTCCATCCCACACCCACCAGCTCACCTCCATCCCCACACTCACCAGATCACCTCCATCCCAAACCCACCAGCTCACCTTCATCCCCACAATCACCAGCTCACCTCCATCCCAAATCCACCAGCTCACCTCTATCCCTACACCCACCAGCTCAGCTCCATCCCAAACCCACCAGCTCACTTCCATCCTCACATCCACCAGCTCAGCTCCGTCCCCACCAGTTCACCTCCATCCCAAATCCACCAACTCAGCTCCATCCCAAACCCACCAGCTCATCTCCAGCCTCTCACCTGCCCTGTGAGTGGTGCTGGGGCAGAGTTCAGGGTGCTTCACCTCTTCTCTAATCTAGTGAAATAGTCTATCCTCAAACTACTGGGTTTTTCCCAGCGAGGAGCTGTCCTGGTGGCTCCCCAGAGCCTGGCTGCCCCCGCGTCCACCAGCACAGCCTTTGGGGGCCTGGGGCAGGTTCACCTGGGCACCTGCATGAGGGATGGTGATGAGAAGCGGGGCTTTAAAGTGAGTTCAAAGCCAAACACTGCTGCTGCCCCATCCATCCCCTGCTGACTCCAGTGTCCTCCCTTCACATGGAAAGCAAGGTTTTCCTCCTGCAGTCTGGGCACATGCTGCCCACGCCTCGATTGACCCCTCCATCCACATCAGCCTGTGTGTCCACCTGTCCATCCACCCCTCTGCATCCTGCCCGTGCCGGGGTGCATCCGTACCCCCGGGGCTGGTGCAGGCAGGCCCCTCCTGGGGACAGCCCTGGGGACATCATCCACGTGGCAGCAGAGCACACTCACCCTGCCAGCCCTGCAGCCCGGCTCGGAGCCAGCGACTCTTTGCAGGCGCCGGGATCAGTCGGGCTCTTTCCCATCACTCCAACCTCATTCCACCCGTCAGAGCCAGTCTCTCCTTCCCCCAAATCAACTCCTGCACCCCACTGAGCCCAGCTGGCTTTGTCTCTTAACGCTGCATTGTGCAAGAGCCACGATACAGCTCCTGACTGCAGCTCCCTCCCTCCATCCAGCCCCGGCCTCGGCACTGCTGGCAGCACATGGCACTGCCACAGCCACAGCCCACCCGCTCCTCCCCTCCCAGGGGGGCCCCAAAAGCCTCCTGCCCTCTGGAAAACAGGGATTTGTGTCACTCTGGGCAGGGCAGAGCTCTTGGGGTGATGCTACAGGTTTTGGGGTGTGCGCCTGCCCCAGCTTACACCCATCCCGAGGGGCTGGGACTTCCCCTCCTCTGTTCTCCCATCCCAGGAAGGGTAACACACAGCAGAGGCAAAACTCAAACACTGTCACAGGCACCTGAGCCAGAGAGTTCTGGTTTTCTGGGGGGATCTCTGGCCCAGCAGCCTGATGTTACAGAATTCTTCCAAAGACTAAAAACTTGCTCTCACCATAAGGAAAATACTACATTAAAAACAACCCATCACCCCTCTTCGTTTGCCTGTGCCACTCCTGGGGACTCTGGGCAGCAGGACTGAACTCTGAAAAGGGCCCAGACTTGGCTCGAAGCAAGAGATTTCACATCATCATGTCTTAAAATGTCACCACTTTAATTAGCTCCATCTGAAGCTGGAGTGGATCTGTCTGGAAACCAGCAAGGAAACTGCTTCACCCCTCTCTGCTTTCAGTTTGGGCTGAGAAATTTGCTCAGGCTGACCTTTTCCCTCCCAGACCCAAAAAAGGTTCCCAATCCATGCTGGCATTTCCTAAAAATAGGACAAAATAGCCCCCCAAAAATACCAAGCAGCTGTAGGGATGATGTTGTGCTGCACCACGCCAGTGCAGGGAGGACTGTGAGATTCCTGCCCTGGGAGAGATGATGCTTCCAGGCTCCCACTGTGTCACTTTTTTCCCTTTCATCTCCTTCAGACACTGCCGAAGGTCCCCTTCATTGAAAAAGGAATCCCCCAGTTATCTCAAATCAAGGTGTCCCCTGCTCTGTGTTTTCTACAGCATCATTTAAATCTCCGTCTCACCCACCCCTTTAATTTCATTTTTTGTACCTGTAAGGCTGCTGGAGCCAGAACTTACACTCCAGGATAATTTCTCGCTCTAAGGGATACAGTGAACTTCTTCACAATTTGCCGACCAGCCGGGAACGCTTCTCCAGGTGGGATACTCTGGGTAATTATTGGATTTCAGCTGCTGGAGATGGAGGTTCGAGCCCACTTACGCTCTGTGTGCGTGTGATAAATTAATGAAAGCAAAGCCAGAGGAAGCACCTGAAAAAACACAGGGAAGCAGGAGGCCACCGTGCCCCACCACAGCTGTTGGGCTTGGAAATCACAATGCTGAGGTGTCACAACACCTCCGAGGGCTCCGGAACCCAGGCCAGGCTGTCTCCAGTACGACCTCTAGGAGCAGAAGCCACCAAAAAGTCAGGGACCACTTCAGGAAGGGTCACAGAGGTGTCCACCATGGCGATGGCCGGGTGATGGGTTTGGGTCTGGCCTTGGCATCTCCTGGGGGAAGGACCGGCGCTGCCACCACGTGCAGCTCTAGCCCCTGGCAATGGCAGAGCAGCAGTCGGCCTCCTTTGCAGAGCGAGGGAAAGCTCAAGCTGGAGAAATACCTTCCTCGGAGCCTGATAATCCTCCAGCACGCCAGAGGAAGAAGAGCGGGATCAAAAGCCTCCTCGCCGCCTCCCCGCTCATTGCCGGCGAGCCCGGAGCCGTGGCCTCGCCGCGCTCGGGCTTTGGTGGAGCGTGACACTCGTCTGCGGCCATGCCACGCAATTATCGCTCGCAAAGAGAAGGGGGCAGATCGCCCCGGGGCGGGGGAAAGAACGAGAGCCGGCCGCCTTTCATCCGCACCCCACCTGCCGCTCGCTATTCTTATCCCTCCCGATCAAGGAGAAGCGTTTCCTCCTCCCGCGACTGAAGCCCAGGGCCCCGACACGGCGCGGGGAACCCCACGCTGGTGGGGCACGACCCCGCGGGGAGGAAGGGCTTTCAAGCTCCGAGGGCGCCTGCTGGAGACGGGTACTGATGTGCAGACACAGGTACAGCTTTGGGGGCAGCCAAGGGCAGCCTCGGTTCGCCGTCGGTGCGGGAAAGGCCGCGGCAGCGGCGTCGGCGGCGGCGGAGGGACGGCTCGTGCGCCGGCCTTGGTGCCAAACAGGGGTTGCTCCCGTGGGGAAGAGGAGAAAAGGGGCCCTGGGGGAGAAATTTGGTCACTGGGGTTTAAAAATCCCCTCGTGTTCTCAAGAGAGAGACTCGGACTCTTGTTTTTTCGCCCCCAGCTCTAGGCCTCGCGAGGGAAACAAATGAGTCACGATGGTAAGAAGTGGCCACTCAGGGTTATGTCCCACTGGCCTGGAAGAAGGTGGAAGTTGCTACTGGCACCATCCATGGGTAGAAAGCAGAGCTGCCTTGGTGGCAAGGAAAAAAAAACCCCCAAGAGCCCATGTCCATCCCATCCCCATGTCCATCCCATCCCTGATGGCCAGATGGTGTAACACAAGGTCAGCAAGAGCCTGAAGAAGGTAACTGGGTCCCTCTCTACTAAAGTGAAGCCAAATCAGCAGAGCTATCCCAGGGACCAAGAACATTTGAGTGACTAGGGAGATACCAAACTCCTCTGGTGATGATCACAGATCCCATCTGCTGTAAGACTTTCCTCGTGCAGCAGACAGGCTTTGCTGACCCTCCCAGGCCGCCTCTGCCACTCTCTGGTTCTTACAAACTGCTCCAGGGACTAACCAAACTCAAGGTTTCTGGAGATGCTGGAAGAGTGCACCAGGGAGGACCAGGCAGGTCTCCAAGAGGCAGCTCTAAACACATCCAGTTCCCCATGTTTTCAGGAGCAGAGTCAAGAGGGGCTGCAGCCCCCAAACAGCCCCAGACTGGGCTGGAGAGACCCCACTGAACTCGACTTGCTCCACCACCATGGCAGGCTCTCACCTCTCCCTCAACGTGGCTGGAAACGGGGCCTCTGAGCACATTCTTTGTGTCAATACAGCTGCAGGAAATCAGCTTCATCACCTTGAAGGATCAGGAGCTCTTCCCAGATGTCAGGGATCCTGCACAGAAATAAAAGCTCAGTAAAGGTCCCTGGGAACTCCTCACCACCAACCCCAAGCTCAATGAGGACTCATGTGCTGATGGCTGAAGCCTCAGGAGCCAGGGCTGCTCCAGGGTCACGTGTGTTTGGTCCTCTCACTCCCCCCACAAAGTGAAGGAATTCTGGTGTGTGGCACTGGGGGTGCCTCAGCATCCTGGGGAGATGTTGGGGTGGAATGGCCCCCTGGAGAGGACAGCAGTTTGCTCCCCCACCTCGGGGTGGGAATTGCACAGGGCTCCTCGCTGCAGGCTCATGCCTGACTGCAATCAATGTAACCTTTTAAAATTAATCTACTTTCTCTCCTCTTTTGCACACAAATACAGTTGCTGAAATTCCTCCATTTCCATGACATTTGGGAAAAAAATTCTTGCCTCAGTGGAATGCTTTCTTTACACCGTGGGCATTATTACTTTAGGAGGGGAATTAAAATAAAGGTTGGGGTTTTATTTTTGGCCTGTGATATTGGAAAATAAAGGTTCTTTCTCCCCCTGCACTGCACTGAGTGCCAGTGACTGCCAAGCAGAACGAGCAGGGCAGGCAGGACAAGCCGGGGTCTGCCTGCCGTGCTCCCAGTCATCCTGCCCTGGAACCAGGGGAAAAATCCCTGCTGGAAGTTCATGGCCAAAGGTCAGGCACCGGAGAGCCGGGGCAGCAGCCCCAGCACGAGCACGGGGAGCTCCTGCCTTCTGCTCTCGCTCCTGGTTCCTCGGGATCCGAGGGAAATCGGGAGCGACGGCCGCCGGCTCTCAATCACCCGCCGCGGGACAGGGGAGGGCACGGCTGCTCCCGCCTGATGGATTGGGAAGGAAAGGCTGACAGCCCCAATTTACACATCACTCTGCTTTTGTGCTTCAAACACGAAAAGCAGGGTTTCTTCCCTGTTTTTCCAGAAGCAAAGCCCAGGTCTGTCCTGGCCCCCTCCAGCCTCGGGGGCTCAGGGGAGGCAGGAGGGTGAGGAGAGAGCGAGGGGTGTCACAGGGATTGGGATGCAAAGGGACACCTTGTCAGCCAGCTTGTTCCCACGGGCACAGCTGTACAACAAACAACCCAAGGGAGAAGGGAGGAGGGTCCTCACCCACGGAAAGGGTGGGAGATGCCTCCTCCATCAGAGATAAACACGAACACCCTGACACAGCAGACCTTTCGTGCTTCAGGACAGCAGCCAGAGCTTCAGCTGCCTGGGGGGGAGAGAAAGAAAAGGGTTTAAACAGCTAATTCAGGCTTTGGCCTCGTCTCAGGCTCTCTGGGTGTAGAAAGGGTGTTCCCACTACTCACCTTCCAGCCAGAAATCCTCACGGGTGCTGTCCTGCTGTGTCCCTGCCTGGGACAACTCCACTCCCACCTCTGCCAGACCCATCAGGGACCTGCCATCCCTGGAAACGTGTCTGTGCACCTCCCCTCCCATTTCTGTGCATTAAGGATGTGGGTGTTGGGGCAGAGGACATGGGCAGGGCAGCAGGACCCCCATGGACCACACAGGGTCCCCCATGGAGGAGGATGGAAAGGGCAGAGCAGGATAGCGGTGCCTGGCCAGGCGAGGTGAGGAGTTTCCAGTGTCACACACATGCTCCCCAGTCCCCTGGCATGTGCAGGATGGTGCCACTGCCCACACAGCCTCCAGCCACCCCTTGACGTTCCTGGCCCGGATTTCCTGGAACAAACCCAGCAGCCTCCTCCTTCTCTTTCCCAGGCTATTTTTATCCTCCTCCCAATGACAGATTGAGGGCTTCCAAACCCAGCCCTGTGAACTCTCTCCTGCTTCCCCACCATGGAAATTACTGCGCAGTGGTTCGAAATGGGAGAGCAATTTGCAAAACAAATAAGTCTCCGATTAGCTAACGAGCATCGGGCTGACCTTACAGGGACCCCTTCATTAGGAGACACTGAGCACCGATTAACTGCACCGGGATGGAGGGAGCCACTTCATACTGCTTTAATGAATTAAATATATGCTCCTATTTGGCTCCTAACGTTAAAAAAACGCTAAGTACAGTAATTGTCACATTCCCCAAGTCAGTCATCTCCCTACCTCGTAGTTCAGCTCGACTTTCCCCTTCCCACCACCAAAGTTTAATTTGTTAATGTGCTTCTGGTGTCACAGTGTGTCCCTCCATTAACACCAGCCCATCAAAGTGTCCTGCTCAGGGAGCTCGGGTGTGATTTCCTCCTGCTCTCCTCCCACTCCTCAAGGGTGTCCCAGCACGTGGAAGATGCTCCATGCCCTGTCCTGGCCATTAACTCCTTCTGAGGCTGCATCTTCTCCTTTTCTGGTTCTCCTCGTCCAACAGGGCAAGAGGAAAGAGCCTCAAGCTGTGCCAGGGGAGGGTCAGGTTGGACATCAGGAGGAATTTCTTCATGGAAAGGGTTGTTAAACATTGGAAGGGGCTCCCCAGGGAGGTGGTGGAGTCCTCATCCCTGGAGGTGTCCAAGGAAGGACTGGACGTGGCACTCAGTGCTCTGGGCTGGGGGACAAGATGGGAATCGGGCACAGGTTGGACTCGATGGTCTTGGAGGGCTTTTTCAGCCTGAATGATTGTGTTGGGAAAAAGAGACAGAAAGGGAAAAACTAGCAACAAGGAAACAGTGGAGGAATTGAATGACTGATCATCCTGGCCCTGGGGTTGTCCTGAAGCTCTTCCCGCTGCCCAGGGGCCTGCAAACCTCACACCTTTTGCTGATGTGCCTCTGACTGGTGTGTAATTTAATTACCACGCGCTTAAAAGATTAAATCCACGATTAAAAGAATTTATGTGGATTAGCGCGGGATGATTTTAAATCACTGCCAGCTCCCGGCACAGCAAACCAGCCATCTGCAACCTGCAGCAAGAGCAGCACTGCTGGGAGGGGCTGGGAGGCCACCCCGACCCCACTCTGAGAGCTGAGAGCCCCCAGCCCCTTCCCAGCACTAACATTCCATGCCAGGGGCAGCACTGGCACTGGCACAGAGGTGGGACGTGTCCCCTCCCCAGCACGCTCCTCCCCTCATCCATCACTCCATCACACACATCTCTGCCTAAACACATTCCTCCCTTAGTCCCCAGAGGTGAATTTTAGGCCCTTTTAAGCCAATCTGTTACTTAAGTCACTTATTAGATGTGGCTTTATGGGGAAAAGAAAGAAGCAGGATGGGAGGAAGAGTAAAGCACGCAAACTGG